ACAAAAATTCTAAATTTCAGGGTCCCTGCCCCCCTTGGGCCTGAGGGGTGGGGCCTAAAACCACCAAAATTAATGCAATCTTTAACAATCTTCTTCACTCCTGGACTTCAAGCAGTCAAACTGTTGGCATGATTGTAATAAGCAGTGAGCCCTCTACCAAAATTGCGAAATTCATGGCCCCAGGGTCAGGGGTTCAGGTGTTAGGGCGGGGTTACACAGATCATATAGTGAAAGTGCATTATTTCTTTGAAAATCTTCTTCTCTGCTCCTGGGTATCAAACAAACTAACCAAGTACAGAGTCATGATGAGCAAGAGTGCCATTTCCAAAATTGTGAATTTCATGGCCCCTGGGTCAGGGGTTCTGGTGTTAGAGTGGGGCTCTATTGATTATATAGTGAAAATGCATTAATTCTTTGAAAATCTTCTCCTCTGCTCCTGGGTATTAAACAAACTAACTAAGTACATAGTAATGATGAGCAAGAGTGAGTCTTTCAAAATTGGGTTCTGATGTAAGGGGGGGGGGGGGGGCTCTATTGATTATATAGTGAAAATACATTAATTCTTTGAAAATCTTCTTCTCTGCTCCTGGGAATTAAACAAACTAACTAAGTACATAGTAATAATGAGCAAGAGTGCCTCTTTCCAAATTGTAAAATTCATGGCTCCAGGGTTAGGGGTTCTGGTGTAAGGGCGGGGCTCTATTGATTATATAGTGAAAATGCATTAACTCTTTGAAAATATTCTCCTCTGCTCCAGGGTATTAACAAACTAACTAAGTATATAGTTATAATGAGCAAGAGTGCCTCTTTCAAAGTTTTGAATTTCATGGCCCCTGGGTCAGGGGCTCTGCTGTAAGGGGGAGGGGGCTCTATTAATTATGTAGTGAAAATGCATTTATTCTGTTCAATAATCCTGTCTTATCCTTAGTGTTGAGCTGATAAACAAAGTGCATAGTTATGATGAATAAGGTTGCTTCTTATAAAATTTTTAAAACTTTGTGGTCCCAAGGTGAGGGGCTTTTGTATTTCTCATTGAGGGGGGGGGGGTCTATTGATAATATAGTGAAAACGTGTTAATTCTTTGAAAATCTTCAACTAAGTGCAGAGTTATGATGATGAGGGTTCCTCTTCCAAATTTGTGAAATTCGTGACCCTGGGTCATGGGTTTTGGTGTTAGGGTAGGGCTGTGTTGAATCTGTAGTCATGGTACATGTAGTGAAAATGCATTATTTCACTGAAAATCTTCTCTGCTCCTTGACATATCAAAGGCAAACGAAGTAAAAGTTTTAATAAGCAAGGATATTTTTACCAGATTTTTAAACATCTGGACCATTTGCATTTGGTCAAGTGTTCTGGTCCTGGCCAGGGCTCTATTAATTTGTATTCTACTGAGAGAAGTTATTCCCCTTTGCAATTCACTTTTGATAATTAATCACTCTAAATAATGTATTTGAAAAGTTAATAGAGTAAGAGAATTGTGCAAAACATTATATTGTATAATACAAAAACTACTTTCATAGTTTTAATGATCAGATAGACTTGTAAATAATAAAATAATTAAAATGAGTCAAAAATAACTTATTGAAATGTTCTTCAAAGACCAAGAGAGGCCAATGTGAGAGATTACAATTTGGGGTTAAAAATAGTACAGAAGCACCAATAGTTTGTTAATAGTTTGCATGGTGATAGTGATAAATTGGGGACAGATTAATACTTAATTTTAATATGAGTTATTTCTAAATATTAGACTAATTATATCATTGATCCTGATCATCCTATTTTTCTTGCTTTTGGGCAACAAAACTACCGACAAGTTGTTGTATTATACTCAGGTGACCTTTAAGGCCCTTGAGCCTCTTGTTCTAGTAGCCCTCAATCCATCTCCTAAACAGTTCTACAGTAAACTGATATATTCTGATTCAACGGTTTTCTTTTTGTTACAAAAAAGAATATTTTTATCAATATACTTCTTCCTTTTTACATGTTTAATTAGAAGCTGAAACGCTTAAGGAACCTATTTTGATCATTATTTAGAAACTTTGAGTCACTACTGTACGTAAATGTAAAAGGTCTTGAATTCCTTTTAAATCGATGTCTTGAAAACTATTGAAACTGAAAAGATTTTTTATTAATTTGAAATCTAAATGTTCCTTGACAGCTGAGGGTACATTCAGTGTATGCCTGTTTTCTTTGATACGCTTATAAGTGTATATGCTATGAATACAAACTGTAGAAAAAGATTTTGGAAATGCACATGTATGAGAAAGAATGATAACTGCTCCGACATTCAAATGTTAAATGATGACATAAAAAAAATTCAAATTTTAACATGCACCATAAAAATAGCGCTTAAACAGTCTTGTCGACTCGTCAGCAGATGTCTTTTTAGTCCAAACAAATAACATCTTATTCTAAATATACATGTTTTAGATTTATTTTGACATTAAAGGCGATTATATTATAAAAAAGATTTAAATGATCTACCAGAAGTAACACTAAGGGTAGTATCACACATCTGTCTTTTTCCAATTACTAACACTGAATAAACATTAAAATAAAATGAATTTATTTGCATTTAATTCATGAAACAAATACGAATCATGGGATCATTGCAAAGCAAGGCTACAAAAAATTGAATACCCGGTACATTATGATAATCTCTTCATATGCACACTGTAAAACTTTGATCTCCGATTGTGGCCTAAACCTATCCCCAGGGGTCTTGATTCGAACAAATTTGAATCTACACCACGAGGATGCTTCCATATCAATATGACTAATGATGGCATTGCTGTTCTTGAGAAGAAGATTTTTCTTATATATTCCTATGTAAAACTGAGAATCATGTAAATCATGGGTTTGCTGTTCTTGAGGAGTTTTTAAATATATATTCCTTTGTAAAACTTTAATCCCGCCTTGTGGCCCCATCCTCCCCTGGGGCCATGATTTGGAAAAAAAAATGAGTTTTCACTACCTTAGGATACTTCCATACCAATATGATTTATCATGGCTTTGCTGTTCTTCAGGAGAGGATTTTTTACTTTATATTTCTCCGTAAATGTATGATTCCCATTGTGGCTCCACCCTACCCCGGGGGTCATAATTTGAACAATCCTAAATCTACACTATACCTGAGGATACTTTCACATCAATATATCTTATCATGGCTTTGATGTTCTTGAGAAAAGAATTTTTTCCTATATATTCTTATGTAAAACTTTGATCCCGGAGGGGGGGGGGGTGGAGGGGGGGGGGCATGATTTAAACAAAAAACTTGAATCTACATTACCCAAGGATGCTTCCATACGAATATGACTGATCATGTCTTTTGTGTTCTTGAGAAGATGTTTAAAGATTTTTTCCCATATATTCCTATGTAAAACTGTGATCCCCCATTGTGCCCCCCCCCCACTCCAAGGGGTCATGATTTGAACGAACTTGGATGTACACTACCTGAGGATGCTCCCATATCAATATGACTTATCATGGCTTTGCTATGTTTGAGAAGAAGATTTTTAAAGATTTTTTCCAAGTATTCCTCTGTTAAACTTTGATCCCCGATCATGACCCCTGGGGTCAGGATCTGTACAAATTTGAATCTACACCACCTGAGGAAACTTCCACATCAATATGACTTATCTTGCTTTTGCTGTTCTGGAGAAGATTTTTGAAGATTCCTATGTAAAACTTTTGTGATCTCAATTGTGACCCCCCCCACCCCCACCCCTAGGGGTCATGATTTGAAGAAACTTGAATCTACACTACCAGAGGATGCTTCCATATCAATATGACAAATCATGGCATCGCTGTTCTTGAGAAAATTTTTCTTATATATTCCTATGTAAATCTTTGATCCCCCATTGTGGCCCCACTCAACCCCCGGGGGTCATTATTTGTTCAAATTAAAATCTATACTATATCTAATGAAGGTTACACAGAAGTTTCGACTTTTTTGCTCAGTGATTCTTGAGATGAAAATTTTTAAAAGATGCATGCTGACAAATTTTCACTAATTCTTAAATTTTCCCCCTTGAAAGAAGGCATGGGCCAACATTTGAACAAACTTGAACCCCCTTCACCCAAGAATGCTTTGTGGCAAGTTTGGTTGAAATTGGCCCAGTGTTTCTGGAGAAGAAGTAGAAAATTTGAAAAGTTTACAGACGGACAACAAACAAACTGTGATCAGAAAAGCTCACTTGAGCTTTCAGCTCAGGTGAGCTAACAAAAGCAGTTATCACTACAACTAAACCTTACAAATATTTCGCAATTCTACATGTTTAATTTGAAAACCAATTGAATTGAAATAAGACTTCTACGGAATACTTCCATAAAAATATGTAAGTTAGATGAATTGAAATATAATTAAAACTACCTTATCTGATAATAGGAATAACAAACAGTAATATAACCAAGAGATCAAGATAATTGGAGTTATTTAAAATTTAATAATGCAGTTTCACTATAAAGTTAACATTATTTAAAGAGAATAGTTTTGTTTGTCAAAATCAGTAATTAGGTCATGTTCATCCTGTTGCAGTCATTTAATTTGTTAATACCTTTGGGCCGGAATGACTTCAGCCTATGCATCCAGAACTTTTCCTAGCTTTTTCTCTGAGCATCGGTCCATAGGTTATGATTTATAATCACGTTACTGTCAGGTATTCCAATTTGTGACATTCAAGGTTGAAATGTTCATCAACTGGTTCATTGAGTCTCTTGGTCTTATAGTCGAACGGTGATCACTGGTTCTTCTGCGGAGATCATCAGTTTCCCCAACATACTTTTTTTTAAACCTTGCAGCTGATGAGATGTATACTGTTTGACAAAGTAGGGATATGAAAGTACTGTCAGTTTTTTGAAAGGGACACAAGACTCAGAGGAATTCTTCCTGCCTTGTGACATCCATGCCTCTCTTTTTTCAGACTTGTGTCCCTCAATTGCAAATATTCTAACCATTATATATTTATTACTTTCAATGATAAGAAATATGCTTGTTGCAGATCAAATGGAATCTTTAACCCGTTTACCACCGTAAACACTTACATTTACCTCTGTATGAGCTTTACGTCACAAAGCAGCACAAAATACCTGTTCAACATGCTTACAGGTAAGTATTAATCATATGACATATTATATGTGCAGTTGCAAATAAGATAAGTAAACAAAAACAAGCAAACTTTTTTTAGGAACAGAATGATGTTAAGACAGATATTTCCATCACTTACGATCTAAGAATAATGTAGACAAATGCTTATGTAAGCATTTGAACTGAATTGTCCAATTGGCCTTCCTTCAGGCTTTTAATCTAAAATGTGTCACCACCCTTTAAATCTGTAAGGATGCCCTTCTTGAAGAAAATTACCCCAATAGAATGACTCCCTCTAAGATTCAATTAATGGTGTATTTTTCTTTGGATATGACTAAAAAAGATAACTCTAAATTTTCTTAAATGAACATATTAAAGTTAAGGTCCATGGGCCAAAATGCTCATTTTAGCTAAACAGACCATTGAGAGTTGAGCTGTATGCCTTATCAAATTCCTTTCGACGAACCCTGATTTACCAAGTCATAGTTTATACCTTCAGTAATCAATAATGACAAAATGCATCCTTGTTCTTGAGAAGTTTGTATGATTCTTCTATACACCTGGCTTGACATACATGGACTATTACAATTATGCTCCAGTAAGCCCCGTTATCCCAAATTTTTCTGTGCTTATGTTTGTTACCAGGCTAATTGCAAATTATATCGAAACTCGAACGCTTAGTCTGATGCATGCTGTGGATGCTTTGAAATATGACATACATTTTATACTTGAATGACTCCTGTCTTTTGTCAACTTCTCACAAATACAGTGTAGTATCAAAACCAACGATGAACATATTTTACTTCAATGGATTTTTGTTTGATGTTCTATCTCAACTATAGTGCACAGTGCATATTATATACATACGGAAATTCTCTTTCAACTATGCATATGTCTTAAATTTCTGAAATGAACAATTGTTATTTTGCAAATAGCTGATTTTGAAGTGAAAACAAATGTTATCGAGAGAGTAATATTACGCCATGTGTCCATAACATCTGTGACGTCATCAGAAGTCTGTAACGACCTTAGCATAGAACCTCATAGGACTCATGTAGCACTACAATCAAGTAATAAAAAAAAAGGTTTTTCTAGTTTGTTGTTAGTGGTGGTTGCTTGCTTGGGATATAGTTATATTATGAAAGAAATGCCTTATAAGCACATTTATTTTGATAAATCACTGTGGTAATATTTTCTAGGTAATGGATACAGCTTTTTACGTTTCATTATTTTTATTTAATATAATTTGATAAATCATTAACAACTTCTTATACTGTAGTTTAAATTTACGAATATTTTTCCCGTTTAATAGAAATATCAAGACGGAAAACGTAATCCATGATTCATTAAATAATGAATATATAACATGCAAAGACAATCTAATTGAACATCTGTTTAAATCTCCAGTTTTCAGTCACATTTCGGTTATCAACCTTTTCAAGAGTATTCATTATTGAATTATAAACAAATCTTAAAACCTTCTTCTCGGTGTTTAACATAGAATAATTAGAAATGTTTTGCCCAACTCCTTAATCGGAGAGCATTATTTGTACTAATAAAATTAAAGTTTAACATTACACAATTTTTCCATTTGAAAAAAAAAAGGAATTTAGAAACTTTAAGAAAACATGCTTAAGAGTGGCACCAATTGATCTGGCACAATTGCTTAAAGTGTACTCACCATGATTGTATTTGAAGCTGAGTCTGATGTGACGCCTTCTGTTCGTGAGCGTGTTATCATCAAGCACACCTCGATCACGAGTGTAAGCCAGAGTGAAGTGTGTAATGACACATCTGATCTTGGAGTGGAAAGACACCACGTGGCACTTCAGTCTGGTATTGTTAAAATCATACTATTGTTGATGATCAAAGTATCTTAAATCAATGATTAGTTCCCCTTTTCTATAGTTTTGAAAGTATTCATGGCATTTTAACAGGTTGCTTCTCGGAGTTTTGACAAAGATCAAAATGTTTAAGTGTGACACAAGGACGATTCATCAGACACAAAAAAATTAATGATTAAGACCCAAAGAGGCAGCAGTGCTTATAATTGTTTTCTTCCCAAATCAAATTTAAAATATAATTTAAAAAAATCTCTGTTTCAAAAGGATTACGCTACTATGTATTGGGAAAAAAATTATTTTAATTTCTCAACCCAAAATTGTTAAAATCATATTTGCATTCCTCTGATAAATGAAAACACAGCTCACTAAAGAGTTCAAATTCCTTGGTAGTTTTATGCAGTTAGATTGATAAAGTGCATGTAATTGAAAACATTACATTAATGTATTTTCCAAATGTAAGTAAACAACGAGGATTTCTGTTCACTAATACTTCATTATCTTTGAACATCCATCCTGGAGATATATGGCAGGTATCCTAAGTTGAAAATGAACTCGAGAAAATCTCAGTATGTACACAATTATTTGATTCAATTTTCTCAAAGTACAAAAAACATTTTTTCATTTGTGTTTAGAGCTTCCTTAAGAAACAATGAACGTCTATCTTAATATGTCCATTTCGAATAATATTTTGCATTACCAAAGCAATTGGAAAACCTTGAATATCTGGAAATCCAAAATTGCAATAAACATACAAAATACTGATATCAAACGAAAGATAAAGCTCTCGGTTTCATTGAAATCATTCCCTTTTACTAGGTTCCGAGGTTGCAGGAGCGGTCACGTGTCCCACAAGTATCCAGGGCACCTGGTCTTACACGTACACTGGACTGTCCTGTAGTGATACATATCTGGATACGTGTACAGACAAAACAAAGTTCGCATACAATGACACTGTATGCACGGATAACCCTATGTTCTCTAGTAAGTCTACATGAAACGAAGACACTCAAATGCATGAAAGAATGTTATCATCAAATTGAAACAAATTATAAAGAAATATTGATTTTTTTTAAAAAAAAATGTTATTAAAAATATAGATGATGGTACATTGCACTGTGTATACAGCGGAACAAGCGGAAGTAATACGTATGTCACTTTATACAATGCTGATTCGTCAGTCACAAGTCCGACCAGCTTCAAGTTTTCCTGCATGGTGCGTAGAAAAGTTCAAAACATATGGGATTTTATGATTTGATGTGTAACATAGACATTAAAAAGTTGGGTTGTAATTTATAACAGGTTTATACAACTTCCGGAAGTACGGTATCTGCAACTGTAAATCCAGAAGAGTGTATCACAGGTCAAACCTCCACGTCCATAACTTCCACTTATGGCAAGGTCGTGACCTTTACAGATATTTCCACAAGTATGTTTACTTATTACAAAACTGTTGCTTTTCTTCGAAGATCAATTTTTTTTCAAAGTTGTAATTTTATAAATATTTTTTACAATATTATGCTTACATTTCAGCACCCTGCAGTAAGTATATATTTTTTGGCTGTTCCAGTGTAATAACTTCAGATTCAGATTCAAACTATCAGTAGCTTACTCTTCATAGTACTTAAAATACTCTCTTTGGGTGCTTATATAGAACTGTTTTAGAGAGTTTTACTGTTATTTATATAAAAATATCTATTTGTTTTCAATCTTTTCTGAAGAAAAAAATACTGGTCATCAACTAGGTAATGGGAAATTTTCGCTTTTTAGGTCACCTGAGTCACTCAGGTGACCTATTGCTATCTGTTTTCGTCCGTCGTCGTGCGTCGTCCGTCGTGCGTTAACTTTTGAACATTTTTAACTTCTTCTCTAAAACCGCTCAACCAATTTCAACCAAATTTGGTATATAGCATCTATGGGTGAAGGGGAACATAAATTGTGAATTTCATGATCCCTGCCCCCCTGGGGCCTGAGGGGTGGGGCTAAAACCACCAAAATTAATGCAATCTTTAAAAATCTTCTTCTTTACTCCAGGACATCAAGCAGTCAAACTGTTGGCATCATTGTAATAAGCATGGAGCCCTCTACCAAAAATTGTGAAATTCATGGCCCCAGGGTCAGGGGTTCTGGCCCCAGGGTGGGGCTATATAGATCATATAGTGAAAGTGCATTATTTCTTTGAAAATCTTCTTCTCTGCTCCTGGGTATTAAATAAAGGAACTAAGTACATAGTTATGATGAGCAAGAGTGCCTCTTCCAAAATTGTGAAATTCATGGCCCCAGGGTCAGGGGTTCTGGTGTTAGGGCGGGGCTCTATAGATTATATAGTGAAAAAGCATTAATTCTTTGAAAATCTTCTTTGCTCCTGGGTATTAAATAAAGTAACTAAGTACATAGTTATGATGAGCAAAAGTGCCTTTTCAAAAATTGTGAATTTCATGGCCCCAGGGTCAGGGGTTCTGGTGTTAGGGCGGGGCTCTATAGATTATATAGTGAAAATGCATTAATTCTTTGAAAATCTTCTTCTCTGCTTCTGGATATTAAATAAAGTAACTAAGTACATAGTTATGATGAGCAAGAGTACCTCTTCCAAAATTGTGAATTTCATGGCCCCAGGGTCAGGGGTTCTGGTGATAAACTAAGTACATAGTTAAGATGAGGAGGTGGGCCTCTTCCAGAATTGTGAAAGCCATGGCCCCTGGGACAGGGGTTCTGGTGTTAGGGCAGGGCTCTATTGATTATATAGTGAAAATGCTTTAATTCTTTGAAAATCTTCTTCTCTGCTCCTGGGTATTATTTAAACAAACTAAGTACATGGTTATGATGCATAAGGATGCCTTTTCAAAAATTGTGAATTTCTTGGCCCCAGGGTCAGGGGTTCTGGTGTTAGGGAGGGGCTCTATTGATTATATAGTGAAAATGCATTGGTTCTTTGAGAATCTTCTTCTCTGCTACTGGAGATTATTTAAACAAACTAAGTGCATGGTTATGATGCATAAGGATGCCTTTTCAAAAATTGTGAATTTCATGGCCCCAGGGTCAGGGGTTCTGGTGTTAGGGCGGGGCTCTATTGATTATATAGTGAAAATGCATTGATTCTTTGAAAATCTTCTTCTCTGCTACTGGAGATTATATAAACAAACTAAGTGCATGATTATGATACCTCTTCCAAAATTTTTAAATATATGGCCTCAGTTTTTGGGGTTCTGGAGGAGGGGGGGGCTCTATTGATTATATAGTGAAAAAGCATTAATTCTATTAATCATTAATTAATCCTGTCTGCTCCTTAGTGTTGAGCTGATAAATAAATTGCTTAGCTATGATGAAAATGGGAGCTTCGAACAGAATTTTTAAATCTTGTGGTCCTAGGGTCAGTTTCTGGCATAACGAGGGGGGGGGGGGGCTTTTGATAATATAGTGGAAAAGTGTTAATTCTTTGAAGTCCATAGTTATGATGATGAGGGTAACGTTTCCAAATTTGTAAATTTCTTGACCCTTGGTCTTGGGTTCTGGTGTTAGGGTAAGGCTTTGTTGAATCTGTAGTGAAAATGCATTGTACCTGTGAAATTCTTCTCTGCTTCTGGGCATATTGGAAGCAAACTGAGTAAAAGTTTAAATGATATGAGTAAGCGTATTTCTACCAGATTTTTAAACATCTGCACCATTGGTCTAAGCATTCTGGTCCTGGGCAGGGCTCTATTAATTTGTATTCTACTGAGAGAAGTTATTCCCCTTTTCCATTCACCTTTGATAATTAATCACTGTAAATAATGTATTTGAAAGGTTAATAGAATAAGATAATTATGCAAGAATGTTTATCGTATAATTAAAAAAGTACTTTCTTAGTTTTAATAAACAGGTAGACCTGTAAGTAATAGATAAATAAAAATGAGACAAAAACAACTTATCTTATTAAAAGTTCTTCAAAGACCATAAGAGAGGTCAATGCTAGAGGTCTTAATATGGGTTTAAAAATAGTACAGAAGCACTAATAGTTTGTTAATAGTCTGCATAGTGTTAAGTGGGGGACAGATTAGAACTTAATTTATGAGTTGATACTGAATACTAGACTAATTATTTTGTTGATCCTGATCTTCCTACTTCTCTTGCTTTAGGGCAACAAAGCTTCAACTATCAGTGTATTTAAGTTCTAAATTGTTGTATTATACTCAGGTGACCGTTAAGGCCCTTGGGCCTCTTGTTTATAATAACAATTTGTTGGGGTTCAAATCAACAGGGTATAACTAATAACGAAATAAGTAAATACTTTATGCAAAATGCGTCATCAGATTGGTATATCACATCTACATAACAATGTAATGAAACATGTAAATGTATTTTGTGTTATGGCGAGCTTATGAAATTATCACTAAATGATATCTTAACTTATGTTGATGTTATTAAATGTGTTATGGCGAGCTTATGAAATCATCACTAAATGATATCATAACTTATGTTGATGTTATTAAATGTGTTATGGCGAGCTTATGAAATTATCACTAAATGATATCTTAACTTATATGTTGATGTTATTATAGATGCAGTTGGTAAGATATGGCATCGTTTATATCCCAACCCTTTGTATTGATTGTTGGATTCTCATTGTCTCTTAAACTCCTTTTTGTGTGTAACCTAGCATTTATTTCCATTTATACCCACTCCTCTATAAATATCGTATGTATTGTATACTGATAGGAAGTTTAATCGAAATGGAGCCATATCGAATACATTTCCGATTTGTGGATTTCAAAGAAACAAAACAATAATGAGGTTCAACCTTCTATTAATATTTTGCAAATAGAGAGTATGGATTTCATACCACTTTCATCTGTAAAGCCAATCATGGAGGTCGATAGTTAGAATAATGAATACCTTTAATTTGTAAAGAATGACCACGTCTTAGAATACTTTTCCATCGGTGTCCTGATTTAAATAATTTCCTTGTCACCTTGTCAATAAATAATGTAATTCTCCATATCAAAGACTGCAATTTAGGTGAACTTTTTTTTTTCAAATTATAGGACTGTAACTAATATTGTTGATATTTTAAAGTCATCGTCTCTTTCTAATTATTTATCAAATGATGCCAATATGCCTGATATTCACAAATCAATCCAACGTTCTTTTAAACGATTCTCAAGAGTGATTTCACAGGAAATCTGAATTAGACATACATTTTAAAACACGAACCAAAGAAAAAAAATATATAGGGCCCTATATGTGAAGTAAGATTTGTTGATTTTATTTAAGATTTTATACTTGAAACATGCGCATGTAAATTTTGTAATAATGGAAGAATATTGATAAGCTTATTAAAACAAAAAATACCTCAGTATAGAATAAGACTTATCCAGCTGTTTTCATTGAAAATTAACGATTATCAAAATTTTAAGAAAAAGATGCATACTAATGTATGTTTTTATTTCCCAATTTCTCAAATCACGAAATTATCTGTTGTTGAATGTTCTGATATCATATAAATCTATATACGTATACGGTAACTTGTGTGTTATTCATTTCCCTACGATTCGTATTCAGTGAATTTTTCGAGTTCTTTTTTTTTTAAATCCCATTGATATCCATTGTATTATTGTAATGGCATTCTTGAATTTTAAGGTTCATAAAAACCGTTTTTTAAGGGAGCAAAGAAGTCTAAAAAGATCACTTAAATAGTCTTAAAAACTCCCCTAAGTCCATGTTAAAGTGATTTCTTATAAATGTAAAATTAATTTGTATATTTTTCATGATATCAATATAAACTGTGTCATGTTTTGTGTGTGTTTAATAAACTACATTGACTTTTTAATATATTTCTCTACATCATAGAATGTATAAATTATTTTTATATACCTTCACAAAGGGTATATTGCTCATTGATGTACTATATATGACAAAATGTTGCTTTGGCTAAACACCTGTATATTTATCACGCTATGCTTATCCATCTGTGATTAAAAATAAAACTATTTATACATTTGGAATACATTTCTCAAATTAAAATCAGACTTACTCGTAATTATAAAGAACAAAAACATGACATTACATCAACTAATACCAGCGCTTCCTTCCTCAACATACGGTACCAACATGTATATTTTTGGAAGCATATTATGTTCTTGATGCATACACATGCTTGTTTGACAGATCACAGAATTCCCACTTCCTCATACGTTTAATGTTAAATGTTTAAGCCTACAGTACGTCCAGGAGTCCAGTCTATCTGTGTTTTTTTACACTTTGTTTTACACCATTTATACAATGATTTCAAGACATTGACAGAACTAAAGGAGAAATTCAAAACTTTTTTGACACAAGTAGCTAGTTAAATAAGATAAACTTATATGATTTTAACCAATTTGAAATTATTAAATATATGTATAATTTATCTTTGTTCTATTGTATAAAGTTATAAATTCACAATCTTAGCATGTTTTCTTCAAATAATTTCCAGATCCAACCTCGACATCAGAAACAGACTTAACTTGGCTATATATTCTCCTCGGCGTTCTGATAGTTATTATCATCGTTTTAATCATCATCATTCTCCTTTGCATCTTCTGTCGTCGTCGAAAACGACCAAAAATAGATGACGAAGAACGCAATATCACTGAAGAGTCAGACGATGATAAGAGTATAGAAGACCAGAAGAGTTACCAGGAACCACCGAAAGAGGAGACCAAACCGGAAGAAGAAGATGATAAGGCTTCCCAGGATTCAGGTTTTATTCCGGATAAAATTGACAAAGAGGAAGAACAAAAACACGATGTTATATCCGGGTCAGAAGAGAAAAAAGAAGAGGAAGTCCGAGTGGAAGGTGACGGACAAACAAAGGAGGACCAGGAGAGACCAGACACAGTTGTGGTAAGTAACTTTTATTGTGCTCTTATATAATGTATCAAAGAGTAAATACATGAAGACAAATGACTGAATTTTGGGAAGATCTCTAGGACTATAGTTCTTGCTAGTGGCGATGGTTCGTGCTGTTCCCATGCTCTTGCTACTGAAATACATGAATACAAATTGTTTTGCTAGATACATTAAAATTATTTGATAGAAATGAAATGCTGCGTGTTTTTCTTTCTTTACAAAGCATTTGGTTTTTCGGTCTTTAGGACAGGATAGATACATGAACTCTGCTTTCCTTTTGAAATTCATTTAACTGTGGTAAATACAAGAGAATCAAAATTTAACATTGGTTATACTGCGACAATTTAAGGACATTACTTTCTGTTTCGTGTATTTAGCTTTTTCCGGATATCTGTCAATATATGTTGAACTTAGCGATTAACTTGGTTACATAATTTTGTTAGTAAACAAAAAACAGATGCCGAGCACTGGCAACAGAAATTATGACTATCAATAATTCTTTCAATCAATATGACTTGTCCCATCGATTTAAAGGGAAATTTAATAGCGTTTTGAAACTCAGGACAAAATAATTTGGACCCTATAGAGAAATGCAAACAAACGAGTAAAAGGTTTAAAAGAATTATGTGTCGGTGAAAGATCGTAACGTTGGTAAAGTGTCATGGCGAATTCCACCATTGATCATGAATTTATGTGTATTTATTCTGTGAAAAAGTTATTGTTGGTGTTTCCCACAAAATTTCATCGTTTTCAAAGGACTTGTGATAAGCTAAAGTTGTGAAGGACAATAATTCTACTTTGGGAAAACATGAAACGGATCATTTGAACCATACTTTAAGAACTCATAACGAACTTTCATCATCGCACTGATAAAAAAAAACTACACTTCATTCGAGGACATCATTGTCTAGGTACAAGGACTGAGTAATTTAGACTCTAATTTTAAGCACTCCTTTATACGATGCACAACTGTAACGCACAACTTAATATTCACAGAGTAAAATGTCGGATCTCGGTAGCACTCTAGCACCATCAGAACAGGTAGACGGGCCCACGCCCTTTCCACAGGAGGTAGGTAGCCTCAATCCTAAATATGTGCCTCAAACGCTCAAGCTGTAAGCTCTAAGAGAATCTCATCCCCTAGTAAGGAAGGCAGTGTTGACCTTTCATGGAACACTATACTTTCTAGTTATAGACATGGTAAGTAGGTATGAGGTTCTTTTAGAGAAGTACTCGGGCACCTGTCCATTAGTACTTAGCATCCTTCAGACTTACCTGCTTCCACGCCTTCCTGTCCGCTTAATTCTCGATGGTATACGACCAATCTTCACTGTTACAGATGTCACCATCTGTACACGATACCCCACCGCCTCCATTGCCTGGCGTCACATTCAACCTCCTTAAGCTTATACAGATTATAATATTTCACTGAATATCTATCATGTTTTGGATATTGTATAACTGTCTCCCCATTACTATGCTTATAAATGGAGTGTATGATTAATGCATGCGTTTACCGCCTGTCTCTATTAATTCTGTAAATTCTTATTTCAAACCTAACATTGAGGTCAAATTGTTTACCTAATTATCATATTATTGTTTCTTAAAGTGTACAAATCCCGCGTTTTTCTCACTTTTAATGGTGTGTTTATTTTTCTTTTCCACTCTTTCACATTGGTGTTGATTTGAAGTGCATCACGTGACTAGCTTTTGGTCATTCAACCAGTGAGAAGCTTTTCCATTTCTTTTTTAAAATTCATCATCTTCCATTAAGGTTGATTTTCATGAGGAAGACGAATCTCCAAAAGAGGAAGAAAAGGTAGCAATGACATGATGATTGTGTCTCACGCACTTGCATATCTGTTAAGGTGTACATGTAAAGGGATAAATTTCCATTGCACGGTAAAACCGTTTCCTTCAGGGTGAATTAAATAGAAAAGGATTTGTATATAGAGGTGTTCATACTGATTTATCGCTTATAGATCCCACCTGCAATCTTTATAGATCCACAAAACAAATATTTCGTTCAAAGCAGATAATCAGAAATCTAGAACAAATTCCCTTTGATACTTAGAGCAGGAAAATCTATTTATAGATATCTTTTGAATTTTGTATTATATCTTTTAGCATTTCTTGATTCGTTTGGGTTTGATCAAATTATATTTAAAGAAAGAAATACTAAAAATTTGAATGGTGTAACACAGTTTGCACATGTTGTCATACACAAATATATATACAGTTAGGGGGAAGGTAGCACAGTACAGTATGTTGTATAGGGGTTACTGGGTAGTATAAGTGTGTACTTTTTCAGCTTTGCAGAGAAATAGGTCAAAACCATTGTACCATTAGAAGAAACCAATTTTATTATCTGTTAATGTTGTACAATGTATGTCTGATTCTAGTTAAATATCTACAGTGTTTTCCAAAAACTTGATAGTTTTCTATTTATCTCAGTTAAGGGATCGCCATTTTAATTTTATAATTTTTGTAAGTTAAACAAAGTTTTCTAACTTGTTTGGTTATATACTGATTATTTGCATATTTTGTCTGACAAGTCAAGAAAGTCGAACTATTAAAGGTGTAAAAGTGCAGACTTGGTTTTCTCCAGTGAAATACTGCGATAACAACAAAGGGGGTACTGAGAAATGAATACATATTATATTGACATTGCCTTGGTGTGTCTTATTATTCACCGACTATTTTGACAACGTTATAGATTACAAAAATGCAGTCCTGCAGCGAGAATCAATATATAAACTACATAGGCTCTTGGATGAATAGACATTTATATATTACTGATGGCCGACTTCTTGAAGAAAAAAATTCTGACAGATTAACAATAAGAAAATGCTTATAGTGGGTTTCAACATGTTCAATACCTTTCTGAGTGTTTCTTAATAATCGAGTTATATATTTTTCTAGTAATTTAAATCTTCAGCGCCAGTCTGGAAATCCTTTACAAATATTTTGACACACACACAAGATTTATGCATTAATTTTAGTTCTAATGAACCAATATGTTTTATTAATCGAAAATAAATAAGTAACTAAAAGAAAGTGTTCACCTCTTCAGAGAAAAATTGATTACCATTTTATTGTTAGAAAGAGGACAGAGAAGCCAAAATCAAAGAAATAAAAAGAGTAGAATTGAAGGTATTATTTTGCGGATTGTTTTTGAAATAAAAGGTATGCATGGTTGGTGGTGTTGATAGTGTGTATGTATGGTGAAATATCCGATTGCAAAAGAAGGACCGGGCTGTGGCACTTGTCAGTTTATTTCAAATTTTCACGAAGAAGCAATTCACTGGTTGCCTTAATATGCTTAAATGTTGATGCAGTGCTTTGAAAAACCTTTGCAGTAAACAATATTAACAATAAACATTAATAAAATAAATATTATATCATAATTGCTGATGAAAAGAGCTTAATTGTTATTTGAATCTGGATGTTAAATTCTTTATGACAGGAGCCCACTCCGAGGGAAACGGAACAAGATGACGAGCATGTAAGTGTCCTGTCAATCTAGAATCAGTTAAATGTCGATATGTTATGTTCTGTCGAGACAAAATTTTATCATGACTGATGAAAGAGATCTATCTATGCTGTTGTTTGGATACCATTACAGAGAGACATGAAATTGTCAAAATGACATCGATTTTCTTTCTTTTCAGAGACCAGAGGGACCAAGTTCTGTAAGTTACAAAAAGTACTTAATAGAACTTACCTTATTGCATGAAAATGCTTAATTGTAACGCTTGCATTACTTTTTCTTTATGAAAAATAAAAGGAAAGCGGCGAATCTACCGAGGACGAAGAGGAAGTACAGAGGCGGATCAGAGAAATTGGGGGGAAGAAACATGGACCAGATTATGTGGTAGGAATTTATTTACATAGCCTTTTTCCTATTTGTAAGACCGTTGGTCTTTGGCTAATTCTGAGATTCATTTGCAGCCTGAAGGTCAGTTAAGCAAGGTGCTGGTCACCAGAGATATGCATGAGAAAAAGAGAAACAAGAAACAGAAGAAACTTGGTCGTCTTGTTGGGAAATCAAAAAAGAAACAAGACAAGCGTAAAAAAGATGGGGGTACCCCGGACCTGTTAGAAGAGGAGTCTCTGAGACGAAATGGAGACGGAATCAAGGCGGAGTATATGGAACAGTATAAGAACAAAAAACGGATCGAGACCAAACTGGATGAGGAACATTACTGGAGCGTTGATGACGGACTGGATCAGTTCAAACTGGAAGACTATGATGACGTAAGACTTTTATCACTTGATGACTAATTTTAATTTGATAATATTGTTAAAGGTGATATAATAGTTGTAAATATGGACTTTCCAGCGAGGATAAGACTTATGTTCTTTCTTGAACTATGCAATTGGGAAGGAAGGTATTTCAATCTTTCTAAGATTATTGGTCACACACACACATGTCATAGGAACAATAAGAAGAAAGAAAACAAACAAAAAATAACATTTCAACGTCATTGTCAAAAAGATATTTTTTGTATTTGAAAAATGAGTTGTCATAATCTTTTCAAAGGTTATGCATTGTTAACGAACTTAAAATAAAAGAACCCTATGAATCTTATTGGTTGATGGTTAAAAGATAAACATTCGAGTTTAATAGAAAGGATTAAAAAGTTACTTGTAGAAATTATGGGATTTAGTTATTCACTTGACGGCAAGATACGTATGATTTTGCCCTGTGCAATATAAATCCAAATAACTAAATCAAACATTTACGTAGAGAAAAGAAATGCAATCATCTTTATGAGAGTTTCATAGAATCTTTATTATGTAGTGCCACTGTGCATCTCTTCTTTTACGATTTGATCGGACACGTACATGTACTTGGCGTTTCCCATAGCAAAAATGGACATAGACATTCTTTCTATAATATTGGTGGTAATCATCTTTTGTCTGCAACTCCTCCTATACCATTGAATAAAATTTCATGAGGGTTGGCAGAGTTTTATCACACAGTTCCATTGTGACCTATTTTACGTTTTTATCGGACAGATATTCAACGTTTCCAAAAGCAATACATGGACACTGTCATTCTTTCTATAATATTTGAGGTAACCATCTCTTATCTGCAATTCCACCGATGCCTTTTGAATTAAATTAAATGAGACTTTTAAAGAATCTTTATTACATAGTGCAATTGTGCAACTTTTATTTTACGTTTCGATCGGACAGATATTTGGCGTTTCCATGGCAAAACAAGGACACTGCCATTCTTTTTATAATATTGGGGGTACCCATCTCTCATCTAAAACTCCTCCTATACCGACTTTTACAGAATCTTTACAACACAGTGCCATTATGCATCTCCTAGTTTACTTTTCGATAGGACACATATTTGGGTTTCCCGTATCAAAACATAGACAATGCCAAACTCTATAATATTGGAAGTACGTATATCTTATCTGCAACCCCTTCTATACCACTGAATAAGATTTAATGAGACATTTACAGAATCTTTTTATACAAACTGCCATCATGCACATCCTGTGTTCTGATCGCACAGATATTAGGGGTTCCCATAGCAAAAACTGGACTTTACCATTATATTAATATGGGAGCGGGGTATGTTTTTGTGAGCTCAATGGTACCGATGCTTCTTGTTATACCCTGTAAATTATTTGTAAGATCTTTTTTAATGTGTACCGTTAAATATCCTTTTGGTCAACAAAAGTTTAGTGTATTAATGTATAGACAATTAAACGGTCTTAATGTTTATTATAGCCTTACACACGTGCAATGTACTTATTCCTTTATTTGCCTTTGAAGGAAACAATGAGATGTTTTGACAATTTGTTGGTATGTGATCATGTTAGTAAAATTCTTCGTAGTTACAAAAATCTTTCTCCAAAATTCATTTTAACTTTATTATTGTAGAAAATAGGCACGGAAACAAAAGGTTTTAGTTTATTATAGGGGTTTTAGAATCTCGTGTTATAGATGCAGCAAGGGCAATTGGACAACCAGATATCGGAACTTACGTAACACAACTTTTTTCGAGAACTCAGATTAAATTACATTTACACTTGCGTCAAATGAATAATCAAAATGATATATAGACTATCAAAATCCAGACGTCCTAGGTGGATTACATAAGGTCAAAATTTGCAGACGTTTTAAATCTTCCACTCCTTTTCATGCTATCGACAATTTCACTTTAAACTTCAAACATCTTAAAATGTTCATAAAACGGATAAATTAAAAGTTTCCCGGTTTGGTTTGTACAGGAACCTTAAACTGTAAAAACAAATTTTATAAAAAAAAAAAAAATTAAAGCTTTGAAAGAAGGGTTTGACAAACACGGAGAGAAATAAAAGGACCCATTGTTTAATGCACTTGTTCAATATGATTCAGTACTATGTAACCTTCTGGTGGTAACCAGAAAAGAAATAAATAAAGTAAAACACATTAATTTTACTCTGATTTGTTTGAAGTTGATCATAAAACGAATGGTCAACAAAGTCTTGAAGTTTGTTTTATTAAAAAACAAAAAACAAAAAAAAGCAAAAAAAAAAAAAAACAACTACAACAACATAATTTTAAATGATGAACAAATGTAATCTTAATTACAACACAGAAAAACATCACATCGTGGATCAATAGATTTGTCAAAATGCTTTTAGAGTTCAGTATCTGGATTGTTATTTTTTTCAATTTATTACATAAGGAATTTGAGGAATCATTTCCAAAGGGGGATGAACTGAATAAAGATGAAGAGAAGGTGGATGTTGAACATCTTGATAATGTCGATGACACGACTCGCGCGAACATCGACGGCGGAGAAAAAGATCGCGAAAAGGATAGCGGGACGGATAGTCCAGGACTGAAGGACACTGCCCAAAGAGACGATGATAATGATGCAAACATCGACAGTGATCCTGATCTCCGCGATGTGGAGGATGACGAAGTTTTCGATGAAGAGTATGTCAAAGGGACCAGCAACCTTCCTCCAGGATTCATTCGCGACACAGAGGGTCGAATCATTGTTAGTACAGGTGTATAATACTTAATTCTAAGTGTTTTAATTTAAAAGAAAATCATAAAAAGATAACCATTTTTCCATCTTACTTTAAGAGGGTGACAGATGGCCAAATAATATCAGAGGAAGAAATGGCGCGGTATTTCAAGAGAGCGAGAATCAAAAGACTGTTTAGAATTCAGCGACTGAAGCGGAACAAGAAAGGGCGACCAACAGGGGTAAAAAAAATATATCCCTGTAACAATTAAAAACATCTAAAAGTTAACATACAGGAATAGATAATTTTTAATTTAAGTGTTAAAGATGAGAATACTAGTGGATGAATTAAATGACGATGTTTTTGGTTGCAGGGTTATATAGCTGATGAGTTTGGACCAGAGGCAACCCAACCTAAAAATGAGGAAAAGAAAGAAATAGACGGGGAAGACGGACCTAAACCCAAGCATCCACGATCCTCAGCTGACAGAGTAGGCACATCAGAGGTACAACTTTCGAGAGAAATTCATTACAATCTTAACAATGTATGTGTAGAAGAAATCGACATAATTAATCGAAAGCAAATATTGTATCGGAACTTATTAGTTATTGGGTTCAAAAGAATTGAACAGATTCGGTGCTATACATATCAAGTCTTACAAAAAAAATATTTTAGATGGTGGTTAATTCACTCTCTAAAGGTGCCAAAAAATTTCATGAAGTAAGAAAGGGAAAATGGTTTTCGGGAGAAAAAAATTGAAATTGTTCAGGTAAATTCGAAGCATTAGGCTAAAATGTTTCATAGACAGAATTCTATCATTGGAAGTTACTTTTTGGTTATGTTTTAAAGCGAAAACAAAGAACTTCTTTGACGAAAGTGGATAATAGCGGCGGAAAGTCGGTGGCTTTCAATGTTGGCAAGGAGGACGAAGAGGACCTTGTTTTGTTTGGCGAAGACGACGATGACGTCAAACGGAAGGTAGGATATTCATTTAACTTCTGCTTGTCATGATTCCTTTCACTATGTTCATTGAAAATCAATCATGTACTGTACTCTTATGATGATAATAGGGCCGTCGTGATGTGGCAACACCAAGTCGGGAACTTCTGAAGAAGCGCTTGTTTAAATCTCGGAAAAAACGTGACCCTCACGTAAGTGGAACTAAAATAAATGTCAACTCATTAGTCATTATAAAGTGGAATTAAAACTGTCACATACTAAAAACATGAATTAAAATCCTTAAAATTCAAAACTAACAAATTTTAGTTGATACATGTGTCGGAGTCAGAGAAACCCAGGGAACTGAATGATTTGGTGAAGGTTTACGGTCGGGGTGGAGGAGTGGCGTCATCATTTGGGGGACAAGGAATAGGGGGACGGCCACCTCTTCCTCCGTCCTCTCTGCAGAGGAACGACAGCACGCGGGGTTCCCTTAACCCCGAACAACTCAGACAGTTCAGACAAGGACTGGCCAATGATAGAAAGTTTTTGGAACAAAAGAAAGGTAAATAAAGTCTTATAGCGTGAATTATTTACTCGTATTAACCATTTTGTAACCTGTTTAATTTGTTTGATTTGTTTTTTTAAGGTGAAAGAGACGCCCTTTACGTAAGGGAAGCATTCACAACCCCCAATGATCTCGAAATTGAAGAAATTAGAATGGACAATGAGGTATTTTTTCCATAAGTATGCTAAAAATTGCAGTAAATTATGAATTCTGAGTATGCATTTGTAAGGTTTCTAAATTGATTTCTTTAAATTTAGGATGGTAAATCAATTGATATTGGCGATGAGGATGAGTTTGTACTCGTGGGTGACAGAACACATTCTCGGCCTGATGGATACGTACGTACTTCTCATTATTGTAGTTTAACAGTATGATTAGAATCTGATAACATTATCTTAAATATGCTCTGAAAAAACATCTTTTTTTTTAATTTCTTACAGCAAAATTCACCTGAACCGTTTTTCACGATTGTGCGACGCAGTGGAGAAAAGCTCAACAATGAGCCAGCACCGCCATGGTGTACACGTCACGAACTACGTCACACTATTCCATGGTCACTCAGAGAACCGACATCTATGACGAGAGCTAATACAACACTTAATGAATCTGGTGAAAGCATGCGCTTAAATGGTGCTTCAAAATCAGCGGACGCCAGGAAACGAGATATGGACGAATGGCGTTTGAAAATACTTTTAGAAGAACTATATAAAGACAAAAAGTATTTTGATCATGTGATTGACTCAACAGGTATGTTATTCATAGAAAAATTCAAACAAACTTTTTTATTTATAGCATCCATGGAAACAGATACGATATTTCTTGTTTGTTTGTTTTATGATAGAACGAGATAAGGATCCGATATTAGATGAGCGGGACCTTGCAGAACATGGACGTGGATATCTGCTGGACAGAGCTGAATTCTGGGATCAACAGATGAGGGACCATCCTATTCCCCTCCCACCGTGGTGTGTCCCCTCTCGTGTAAATACAACATTGAAGTTAGAATCAGGACGGGGATCTCAGACCTCCACAGTGACACCTCCTATATATAGATCCACACCCCCGCCCCATAACGTGCCAAACAATAGCAAAGACTCACTCTAAACCCCTGTTGCAGTTTTTTGGTTGAAAAAAATACATATGTTAATCACAAGTTATTACCTCCTCAGAAAACAGCAACATGTTTCTTCCTTGTGATTCGGGTATCGAATATATCTTGAGGATTTTTATTTGACAGCTCAGTATTCCTGTTGATTTTCTGTGATACTTGTGACAATATTTTGCAGTCGAAAGGCTTACCTTGTAAAATATTGTTAGACATTATGTTCATTTATCAATTATGTACGTTGAGAATGATTTTTTTTTTTGGATAGATTTGATTGTAGCCAAACTTATGCTTATATGGCATTAATAGTTATTTTATGAATTTCTTGAATGGCGTGTGAGAGAAGCCGATTGCTGAGATGTGATACAAGTCTGTGATGAATGTTGTTACAGTGTACCATCAGTATTAATTTAGTTATTTATTTATTTACAATCTTAGTGTGTCTCTTGTGTAATCACATCGCTCAAGTTATGTAAGCTTTCCAATATGTTTGGATCTTATCTTCTACGCAAGTCTCACTCTGGTTAAAGTTCTTGATAATAGATGTACTTTGCATTTCATATGCGTAATGCAATGTGGCGAAGGGAATGCAGTAATAAGTATTTGAAACAATCCATGCCTTATTATTTATTTTGACATTCAAATTCGAATACTGAATAAAATTGTCTCAATCCAGATCTGAATTTTATTGATGAAATATGAGGAAAATGAACAGTATTCAGGCTCAGACGTCAAATTTGGAGCAGAACAAACACGGACCTCTAAATACAGCAGAGGTGGGATCAGGTGCCAAGGAGGAGTAAGCATCCCCTGTCCACCGGTAACACCCGCTATGTACTCCCTGGCATGATCGAGCAAACGGAAAATCTGTAGACAATTCACTGAGAAAATAATGGCCTTTAAATTTGTATGAAAAAACGTCAGTCAACACTAGACTTCGCGATAGATTGTATTTACTAAGAAAGTCGTTGTATCGAGCATAGGATATGCGAAATGTTGACTTTAAACGAAACTTTGTCAATAGTTTGCCTCGTTCTAGAAATTGTTCATACGTACAATATACTCCTGCGTATCGTATCGAATCAACCAGGAGATATACAGGTGGTATTGGTGATGATTTATTGCTTCTTAAATGACGGGATTTGTCGATAGAAAAGTTGAAATCATCAAATTTATCATAAAGTTTCGTTGTTAGTTTACCATTAATGTCTTTTTCTAGTGAAATATCCAAATATAAAAGAGTTGTGTCAGACTCTGTGGTGTCTTTTATTTCGAGTTCAAATATATAGATAGTGTCAATCATGAACTCGGGCATCTTTTTAATATCAACTTCGGAGTATTTCTGTGTACAATCAGAATGTTTTAACACACTAATATTGCAGATGACCAATGACTAGGTATATAAATTTACGAGTTCTATTTTATTGAAAAAGCAGTTGTCTATGTATCAAAAAACTTAACTTTAATTTATCGGGGGAATGAATGTATAAACTGTTAAAAAGTCATATATTTTGATATTATTGATTTTGGTAAAATTTTGTGATTTCAAAGTTTCTAAAAGTTCCTTGGAGTTTTTATCTACATCTGATTTACACCACTTCTGGAACATGTTGTTGTACAATTCTCCCGCAGTTTCTCCGTCACTGCTGTTTTTTAAAAATGCATTTATTTCCCAGACCTACACTGCTTGAAATATTTTGGACTTGGTGAAGAGTAAAGAAAGAGGTTTGGTAGAACATTTACTAGAATCCGCTATACATTTTTATGTTCAGGGTTTTAAACAGTTTTCAGAATCTAGTATAAGTATGATGATGCAGGAAGTAATACCGTTCATAAGTTTGGTGTTCCCAGACAACATTCTACGAAATTCCTCATGAAACACAGAAAAGTGTATCAAGACTTTATAATTTTCTCTCATGATAAGGATCAGGTTTTATTGTGTGGTGTAAAAAAGTAAGAGGAATATTAGTACTTCATCGAAATTCTCATCATAAAATATAAATCAGTACTAGTACAAATGACTTCGTGTTGGTATAATCGAAAGTTGTTTAAAATGGTCGCAGCATTTATTTTCTTGCATTGTACACTTATTTACAATCGTTGTTTAACTTAAATTCTTCTGAAGATGCGCATATGTCATATCTTGGATATTTTTTGCGTTGTGGAAAATTCCACTTCCTATTTTCCCAAAATGCCTAAGCGTTGAAAATAAGAAATATAACATTCATAATCCTCCCCCATTTTAATAACATTTTAGCTTACTTGATCATGGTGTGAACTCGAACGTTTGTCATTCACCGTTAGATATACGGAATGTTGTTCATTCTCTTGAACTAGTTTACACTAAATTTGACTTGTAACATTCGGTAATGAAAGGTTTTCAAGATATTTCATACAAAAGGAAAGTGGCTCCTTCAATGAGAAAAACTGAGGATGAAGCGAAAATAAGATGAGATCCTTTTAAAATCTCCAGAAAAAATTAAAGAAAGACATTTTTTGTTTTATTCCACGGTCACAGGGCCGAACTAGTTGGTGAATATTACATCAATTCAATAGAAAGGCTTAATGAAAATGGTCTAAATTTGTCTCAATTAAGTAATTTAAATTTTTTCTCAGAACAAAACTACGATTTGACAAATTAATATGAATGTATACATCGGTAAAAGAAAGTAACTTTTGGGTTATCGTATTGTTTAAGTAAAAAAAAAGTTGTTTAATTTGTAATATCCCAGTATGTTAATATTTTAATAGTTGCAATCACTGATATTTATCATTGTCCAGAATATTTATTTATTTCTTTCAAACAAAATATATAGTGCCCATGCAGTGTAAAGTTCACTAATATCCATTTTTAGGAAGGCTAACTTGATTATTGGTTTTAAAAAAAGTGACACAAGTTTTTTCCTGTATATTAAAATTTCTATTGAACTTTTTATCCAGGTATTAACACGTACCTTTCAGATCGGAACAAGGCATTAAAATTTTAATATTTCACCTAACGACACAGTATCGTCGAAATGTAGATAATAATTACTTAGATAAAGTGAAAATTTGAATTAGAGACTTCTCTTGATCTTTGATACGTTTACATAGCGACGCGCGGGACTAACAATGGAGGAATGATCTAGATTTCAATACTTGATCTAAATTTAAATTATCTTATCGTCAAAGACCAAAACATGGAATATCTGTGTCTGGGTTCGTGTCTTGACAAAATATGCGATCTTTTGTAAGTGTAAGTCAGAATGTTGTTGACGTCATATTATGTAAACTTTTACATGACAAATGCCCATTTGAGTGAATATAAAAATATGCATAAAGTTTTCTAGCTTAGTCATGGTATTAACACAGGTATTTACACTTATTCATTTCAATTTGGGCAGTGGTTCGTGTCAAGTTCTGAAGACATTTCAATATTTTCGAAATATGGATAGTTTTTTTAAAGTAATTTTTTTCTTTATATATTAACATCTACATTTCTTCTCTTCATTTCAATACCTTGTTGACGTACAAAACGCTTCCCTCTCATTGTTAACTTATAAACTCTCAATTGTTTTGTGGGAAGATAAAATCGTTTTCTCTTTTTTTTTTTTGATAGGAATTCTATCCATTTTCCACTCTTCTTAAAACCAAACAATTCAAGATAACTTCAACAACTTTATTTGAAGATCAATAACAAGACAACATATGGAGATCTTCTATATCAAGCATTCCTTGTTACTCATTTATAATGGTGTGCTTAGAGCACATACAAAAAATATTAAAACGATGGCTTTCTCCGAGTGCAATGAATATCATTGATCGTTTTAGGATGAATAACAATGTGGAGATCAATCATCATACAAGTACCCGTCTCTACAATGGGAGAATACGGGGGGGGGGGGGGGGGGTCAATTAGGCTCTTTAAATTAATCTCTACTAATTTGTAAATTCTCATTATATATATCTCTGAGGATCATTAGCTAATGATTTGGATATAGAGTACCACTATTTAAAACCGTTTACATTTAAATGTATTAATAAAAAAATTCAAAACAATTCTCTCTCATTCCGTCAACAACATACATTAACAAAGTAAACAATGGCAATAATAGATGAGTAGTCTTAGTCACGTGTCGTGATAGCATCCACAATGAGGACAAATATATATTTGATCGTACATCCCAGTCAAAACTTGCAATGCCTAGTCTAATTCATGGTCTGAATAATTGGTGGCAAGGGCGCTGCACCTGACGGCCTTGTCTGTACTCCATTAGGAATATATTCTCCAATTGGGTCTAACTGCTTCTTTTCTGGTATATCAATTGCAGTAGCATCATGTGGATTAAGTTCTTCAATGCTGATTTTTTCTGGTAAAAAGACAAGTTTGACCTCTCATACAACGTAATCTCTGATTTGATAATCTTTAAAATTACAATTTTTTGTTTTACTGTTTATTTGAATATTCTATATTGTAATTAAAACAGATTGTAAATAAGAAACACTTTTTGTTATGAACATATATTTAATACATGTGGTTTGAAGTGAGTTTTAACGGTGATATGTTATGCTGTGTTCACTGATCACAATGTAATTAGTGAATTGGATGAGTTAAGCGCACACTGACTATAAGATATTCTGAAATTAGAGTCGTGGGTTGGGTGACATGATTTTCTGAACTCCGTGAGTCTCATTAGTAAATAAAACCACGAGTTATGTATCTTACAGATTATATTGATTATAAAAAGTTAGACGTCTTCGTACTAATGGGAGGAAGGGAAGATGGGAGGGTTGTTGCCTCGGCAGCCTCGTTTTGGGGGAGATTAGAGCGATGTGTAATGGGTGGTAAGCGGCCTTCGTCTGTGGGGCCTATACTTAAAGCATCTCTGTATGTCTCTAAGTCCATGTCAGCTGTTTCGAAAAAATAAAACCCAGATTGACAAATGAATGGATATTATACTGAAAAAGCTCACAGGAAAGTGAAAAATATAGGAATGGACCTGTACGACATGCTGTCAAAGAAGGGATCGAAAAGAACATGTTCAAGCATATAGGGAAAATGTTTAAAAATGCCTGGATAGCACAGCTTCTATGAGAGGCATCTCTGGGATTATCTAAACTTACTTAATGGGAAAACTGGAAAAAAAACAATATAAATCCTATTCTACTTCCGGTACTTTTCTATATGTATACTGAAAACCTAAAACGTGAAATGTGACGTGATGTGAAGACCAGATGTAAGTTATTCAAAAGAAGTTACCTTGATTTTCTCTGAGCGTCTGGTGCATTGTTTTCTGTTTTCCTTTGTTCTTCTTATACAAGATGATACCCACTATTAAAGCAATGAGTAATAACAGAATCGCAACCACTATTCCGATTATTATTCCCAAGCTGGATCCCGCTGACGCTGTTCAAAAGCAAAAAAAGGTGATTATCACAGCAAGTAAGAGAAAACTCTCTTCATAAAATCACCATTTAAAAAAAATCATTCAAAATGATTACCTGTGTCGTTGTCGTCTGTGAAGGGACAGGTTACTACAAAAGAAGTAATACAAAAAATGTTAATGAAAAACATTTTTTCTAAGAAAAAAAAACAAATATATGTGAACACGTACTTGCAAGTGTGGTCCACGGGCCCGTTTTATAAAAACACTTACGACTATGATTAAAAACTTTAATTAGTTGATTGTAAAAGGTTGCAAATTTAATGATGTTATCTTAAAATTGCTAGCATAAAAATAATTTAATTTCTTTTATAAAAAATTAATACCATTTTCAAATCAATGTAAAATAGAAAGTTATTTGCAAAATTAAATTTTGGTCTTAGTGGAAAGTTCTTTTGTAAAACGGGGCCTAGGTTGTAAAAGGTACAAAGTTTAAAGTAACATGTTCTGATACATGTACCCTTTTTTCAGGTATTAGGTAATATTTCTCCCATTGATATTCCTCAAAACGATTATGGGGCAATATGAGAACCATCTATCCTTCTGTATTCAATAATTCAGAAGTGATTAAAAGATGAGTTAGATAGCATGATCAACATGTACTGGTCCCAGGTGGCAAAGCAGGTAACAATACAGTCTTTGTTTGTAAGGCTTATTATTACAGTTCCATTTTAAAGTAACTTGGATTTAATTCTACCAGTGGTAATCGAACTTATTTTCATAGGTCCCTTTCTAAGGAAGCGATTCTTCTAAATCTCATGTCAGTTTTAAATATTTTTTCCCAGCAACCAAATTGATTTTGAATTACCATACCTATGTTGGATCCCAAAACTTCATAAAATCCTTACAAAGAAAGATATTTTGCAAGATCTAGCAAATGTTCTACCATGCCGCCTTCCTTACTCCTCACGCAAACATTAACAGAAGCGTAGAAACTTCAGCTGTATTGTGAAACAACCTATTTGTGGTGTTGATCAAATGTGGATACTTTAAAACTCCAAAGTAGTTTTAGAAAATTTGAAATCACAAAATTTTACCAAAATCATTAGCATAAATACGTATGGATTTTTAACACTTTATACAACTATTCCTCACGATAAGTTAAAGACAGGGCTATTTGACATCACAAATAACTGCTCCTTTAACAAGAATCGAACTTGCAAATTTTCCTATCTTGTGATTGATCATCTACAAACATGCTTTGTTAAAAACCATTCTAATGCAACCCACAAGTACTCTGAGTTTATACTAAAACATGCCTGAGTTCCTAATTGACAATATCTCTACGGTCTTTGGAGAACAGGTTTTCCAACAATCTGTTGGGATTCCCATGGGTCTAATTCTGCCTTATTATTACGGATTACTTTTTGTATTCTTATGAAGCAGAGTTTATTTTAAAAAAATCTCTTCATGTTCACAAGAAGTCTCTTGCTGTGGCCTCCAATTTGTCATTTAGATATATCGATGAAGTTTTCAATTAACAACATTTATTTTCATTCATACGTTGATCGATGAAATATATGGAGATAATGAACAGTATTCAAGCTCAAAAATCCATTAAACATTACAAAATAGGAGCAGAGCAAACACGGACCTCCAAAACATCAGAGGTGGGATCAGGTGCCATGGAGGAATGAGCATCTCCTGCCGACCGCTAACACCCGCCGTGTGCTCCTTGTCATGATCGGGAAATAACGGGAAAATCCGTCGACAATTTAGTGTGTAAATAATGGCCTAATAATTAGTATGAAAAACGTCAGTCAGCATTTGACTCAATGATAAATTGTATTTGCTGACAAGGTCATTGTATCGACCATAGAACGTACGGAATGATGACTTTAAACGAAACTGCTGATATTCTTGTTTCATCAACGTGTTTATCAATAATTTACCTCGTTTTAGAAATTGTACATACGTAGAGCATGCTCTTGCGTATCGAATCAACTGAGAGATATAAACCCCGTATATGCAGGTGATGAAGATATATTGCTGTATAAGTAAGGGGAGTTGACGATTGAAAAGTTAAAGTCATCACTTTTATCATAAAGCTTGGTTGTTAGATTATATTAAAGTCTTTTTCAAGTAAAATATCCAAATATGAAACAGATGTGTCAGATTCTGTGGTATCTTTCATCTCAGGCTCATCGGGATATATCGTATCGACATAAGAATGGAAATAATCATTGTTATACCATTGAACTCAAAATAAAAGATACCACGGAGTCTGACAATCTGCTTTATATTTGAATATTTACAGGAGAAACATTAATGGCAAATTAACAACTTTTCTATCGTCAACTTTCCTTTTTTGTGTATATGGGTTTTACGTCTCCCAGTTGAATCAATTCGCAAGAGCAAGTTCTTCATACGAACAATTTATTAAACGAATCAGACTACGATAAATAAGTTAAAAAAGTCAAAATTTTATATATTTTATGGTCGTTACAATTTCCTTGTTCGCAAATACAATCTGTCGTTAGGTCGAATGCTGACTGACGTATTTCATACAAATTTTAAGGCCATTACATTTTTATACTGAAATGAATACGGATTTTCCCGTTTACCAGATCAGAAGAAAGGCACACGACGGATGTGACTGGTCGACAGGGGATGCTTTCTCCTCCATGGCACCTGATTCATCCGATGTTTTCAGAGATCCATGGTTGCTCTGCTCAAAATTTGCTTCATTTCTTTCATTGGATTTTTAGCATGATTACGGGTCTTTATCTTCACATTTCATTCCCTCCCTTTTTTTTTTTTTACATAAAAATAGATCAGATAAAAACCCTTTCTAATCTGTGACCCAGACCTTGTGAAAATTAACATGGATCAGGTTCATCATACATCCTTAAAAGATTTCCTACCGAGTATGAGCTATTTAGTTCACCATTGCAAAGTTATGCACCGGTTAAGACTATTACTTTTTCAATCCCTGTGATCTTCGCATATTCAAAATAATCATGGTTCTGAAAAATCATTAATCGTAAGCTACGTTTGTGTCCTGCTTGGTATGAAGTCTTCAAGGTGCTCCAAGAGGATCTAGTTAATGACTAAGAAACATGCCAAAATTAATAAGCTTCATGCATCTTCCATCTCAGGAGGTCTAGAAAAACACCTTTTTATTACTCACTTAAAGAAAGAATTCATTTAAATTTGTAAACAATTAAAATGTATATACTGTTATCACTTACTATATGGGGTAAACACTAGTGTACCCGTTCCATCTGACTGTTTGACTGTGGGAGACTGCGATCTCTCGCACTGACCCTTGCTGTCACTGGCGTAAATTGTTGACCCTGATGACATCACGGCCTGAAGATTCATAATGCAGTTGTATATTTTGCAATATTACTGATTATTTATGGCAATGCCTAATGAATGAATTTTTAAAGAAATGTCTAATGAAATGTAATTCTTACATAACAGGTAAACCGGAAGGTGGTGGAAAAATCCACCGTAGTGTCTGTATTGACGATTGTCGTGTAGTAAGTACTTCCGCTAGAAGTATAATAAACGCAATAACCCTCGCCTCCAGCTGAAAGTGGAAAGATAATGGTCTTATCTAAGATGACTGAAATGGGTATTTTTTAGGCAAGGTGGTTTCAATCCTAGACGCAATCGATCAGTTCGGCATGACCAAGGTAAGAGATGTTAATGAAGAGGAGGAAGGCTGACTTACTTGAGTAGAACTGTTTTGTTGCACATTGCGTGTAGTTCACAGTTGCAATTTTTCTGTCGGTACAGACATCCCAAACAGACCCCGTCCCACATGTCGTGGTGCTGCCGTCATTGTGGGTGTAAGCAGATGTAGCCAGAAAAGGAGTGGGGAAATACTGCTTTATGTCAGAAAGATGACCTAGGAGAAAAATAAAAATACTTTTATTATGAATTGCAAAAGTTGTCAGCACTGTCACATGTATTATATTATGTCCTGGATCAAAAAGTGTTACTTTTGCAGGTCAAAAAGCTACTTACGTGCTCTATCCAGCAGAGTACCTGCTAATTACTAGATAATTCTAACAATAATTTTTCTTTATTTCTGCAATACTAATTATTCTAGCTTACCGGCCTTGACCAGGACAGCATACTCTTCTGTACCGAGGTCAGATGGGTTGCAATAAGTAGAAGACGTGGGCCAGGACGTCACAGAAGGATCATTGCTCTCAATATATACTCGGGCATTATTTGCGTTTACTTGTATATCTAAACAAAGTAAGAGTGAGTAAAGTTTGATTCCAATGAATGCTCCTATATCTCATATTCAGAGAAGAATTCTACTTACCAGCATAGATATAGTACATATAGGAGTAGTCCGTTATTTTTGTGTATTTTAGGCATCTAAAGGCGTTCTGTAGTGAACTGAACAGGTTGATGTACTGATCACCTCTACAATTGATTTAGATAATTAATTATAAAATACAAGGAAGACTATTTACTTTACCTTCATCACATATGGATCAGCTTTTGCATAAAAATGTTTTTAACTTGCATTGAACATTATTCAGTAGTGTGCTTCATGTAGATTATGCAGTTATAAATGTTTAAAAGTTTTGTGACAGTGAAACATCTCTTTTGATCGAAGTATTGTAAATATATTAAATACTTGTTTTTTTCTTTTTAACACTGCTTCATGTATAAATCACAGGTGTGCAAAGTATTATTACACCTGAGTACTAACAAATTATTTAAATTCCTATAGATCACCAAATTTCGAGACAATTTTTAGTGATATAACTACACTATATAAAGTATTTTTCACAAAATCTGGTTTAAGTTGTTTATAGAGTTTAATAAGAGAATGAAATTTTCGTGGGCAGATGGTCTCGTATACTAGTAACTTAAATTCCCGCTTATAAAAAGTGATTTACAAGTACATGTATACTCACACATCATATGATTTATAGGCCGGTATAAATGAAAAATAAAAATTCACTGCTTAAACAAAGAAAAAATGCAATGTAATTTATTATATTCACTTACTTAAATAGTATCAAATTATTGGTGGTGTCGTGGTTCACGCATGTCCACGAAGTTACGGTTGATGCATATGCAGTGACGGTCCAACCGGAAGTGACCTGAAGATTGGCTCTATCAAACACAACATTGGAAGTTGTCATGCTGCTGTCATACCACGTGCTGTCCCATGTGGTGGGAAATGTACATGTCCCATCTAACAAAAAATAAAGTATTTAAATGTAAAAGTTTATTTAATAGCATATATAATTACAACATATACGTTGTTATTACATTACATATTAACCAATTGCTGTGACATCTGTCCATTATTTCCCTTGTCCAAAAATGCACAATTAGGAATCCAATTTCACAAAGTACATTTAATCCATTATTGGACTGCAGTGAACTTTACTATTGTTTACTTATCGGACTCTTCAAGGTAACCTTTGATCATTTATTTGTCAATGTTTCAAGATGTATGCCTTACGCATAAATTTTAAAAAATCTTACTATATGGGGCCTGTCTAGGGCCTTAGGTTGATTATTTCCTTTATGTAAAGGTTATAGGCCGAAAACTGTCCATTCTATTCTGTTGGAGGATCTCTATGCTATTCTCTATTTTCACTCTATTGTGTTCATAATGTACTCTCTTAGAATTGTTTCTCATCCATTGTATCAAGTAAGCAGAGTCTACTTATTGGACTATATCAGGTAAAGGTTGTTTACAATTAAAAGAATCTTACATTCATTGTATTTGTTAACTTATGGACAGTTACAGATGAGTGCTATTTTTAAATAACTGGTTAAGGAATATTTAACACAAAGCATGATATTCGAACACTATTTTCTTGTGATTGTGAATGTTGAAAGCATGTCTCCTTCCGAGGGAGAAAGCATATTTATGATGAATGAGACATGTATTCATAACTTATGAAAAGGAAACTTTTTAAAAGGCGTCGTATTGGTATTGTTTCATGCAATCGTGATGACATACCTGAGTTCACAAAGGGGAGAGACCTTGCAATGGAACAAAACACTTAGACATATGAAATAATATAGATCATGAATTTTTTTCAGTATTTCGGAAAAATAATTCTACCGGTATTTGATTAATGCGGGGCAGTTATTTACCACTCGTGTCTCCCTACATGGAAATAGACACACTGGCTTTGGTATGGTCTGGCTAGCCTGTCTGGTAAAAACTCTTGAACCATTGAAAGAATAAGTATGATGTTGCTGATGATCCACAAAGGTTTACTGATCTTGAAGCAAACTCAATTTCAAAATGTTAGGGTCTCTGAGCAAAGACGTAGATGAAATGATGACGACTGTTACTGGAATCTTTGATTAGATAAATTCAATATTGAGTATAACCCAGAGATGTTGAATGAAGGTAGATTGTTAACTAAAGTTAGGTTTAGATTCTCTGAATTCTAAAACTTTAATGTAATGTATATCTCAAAGATTATGTTTTAATTACTTGGCATGATTTAAGTAAAACAATGTCTGAACCCTTTGATTGGAATGGGTTCAAACTTGAGTGTGTTGTTGCTGATGACCTAAAAGTTTGTTTATTGACCTTGAGTCAAGGATTTCTCAAAGTTTAGTTACTTGGGATGTTGAAATTATAATACAACTTGTTATCATTCCCTCACATTTATGATATTAACCACTGAATCAGATAGATCCATGGACACCATGTTAAATCATACAATGTTTGCTAGTGGCTATAACCTGGAAAGGGTAGACGAGCGTTTCTGTCCAGAAAAAATATGTTTGTTTCGTTTTTAAGTAAGATCATGCTTCTAATATTCATTTTTTGAAGAACAAAGTTTTGCTGATACAAGATTTTAAAGGATTAAAGGCCACATGGAGGTTTGAATTTGTAAATGGAGTTTTCAACAGGGATATCTAAAAGGTAAAAATGTTATACAAACAGTAAAGCTGATTAAATTGGGATTAAACTTCTTATAATGGGGTGTAAGGTGTAAATACACATTATGCTAACCACGTTTATCTACAAAACCTTTTTGAAGAGGGTAATTGAAGTGTTACAGAAGTAAAAACTTTTGCATTTTAAGTTAAAGAAAATATTAAAAAGGTGAATAAAAAAGTAACATTTGAACAGTTGATTGTTTGTGCTGAATTTATATGCATTAAAGTAATTTTTATTTGGTCTGTTCCATTTATTTGCACTTTTGAACTCAAAGATACGCTTCTCTTTCATTTCAGAATAAATAAATATCATTTATTAGCTTCTACCTATATACCCCTTCCTTACTACCTAAAGTTATGAATACCGGGGATGTTATTTTTTCACTCAGAAATTCGATATATGCAAATGTCAATGGATTGAGGACCCGCCCCTTTCTATCTAGTACATTTTATATTTACATTTTTATAGGTGTATTATGGATGTTATGAAATTTTTCGATCGTAACACGACCAACTCCCTACTTGTGAGAAAATGAAAATTGTTCAGATTCACTGTATATATACATACATGTAAAAGAACATGAATCGTAGCACATTAGATGATGGTATAAATTTTCATTTGGAAGTTTGTAGCTCCTTCGTCAAATGTTCTCTCTCTCTCTCTTTTATATTATTTTTTTAAACATGAGATATAAACGATTTTTTTAGCATTTCTGGACCTGAAGTAAGATATCGATGTATGCATATTTTCTGGTAGAAACCACCATTAAAAAAGGGATATGACTTTATACTCAGTGTAAAGTCATAAAATAACAACGAAGGAAAACTTTATAAAATACTTCTACATTATGTTATTGAATTTCAATTTAGAAGTTATGAGTACATGTAATAACTTTGAAAAGACTAATTTGAAGAAAAATTTCAAAACATTTTACACTTTTACAAAAACTTTCAACAAAAAATCTTTTTTCTTCTTTGAATTAGAAGCTGATTACATATTCCACTGTCTGCAGTTGAATCACTACCTTTATAATCATTCATGCTTCAAATACAAATGTGAAGTCCTAATGTCAATTCGATTATTTTTTATTTATTTATTCATTTTTGTTTTTATAAAAGGTTCACTCAAACATGAAAACCAATTTTGTCTAAACTTTACTTACCAACATTGTCAAATCCAACCCAGACTATCAAAGAGATAAGAACGAATCTTATATTGTCACGCATCGCTGGAAAAAAGATGTAGATATCACAATATTTCGTTAAATGTAACCAGATTTATCTTTTCTGCATGATTATATGTGTTGTTTAAAAACCATGATTCATTGTGAGGTATAATTAAAGAAGTCGTTGTGCATGGAAACTTGCATACATTTTATATCCGATCAGGGATGATTAATATTACAAATAAACTACCATTAATCCTGCTGTGAACGTTAATTGTTTCCAGTCTTTAAAATATAGTGAAGTTTATCCTCTAACGAACCCTTTGACGTTACGCCTATGAAACCTTAATCTCTTTGTCAAATCCTTAGGGAAAACATTCCAATAATTTCTTTGTTTATAACATGTAAATTCATTTTACACTATCCTTAAAAAATATCTTTGCACCTTTTATCAAGGTGTGCTTGTAGTTTAGGGTATTTCTTCTAGATTTTTATAACATCAACAAACCAAGAAGTGAACAACTCTTATTTGATATGAATAATGGAAATTATTTTCAGATATACTGGTACTGTATTGCCAGAGTACGTGCATTTTCCAAAAGTAAATAGAGAAAAAAAAAACTTTCGCTGACAAACAGACAAGTACCGGCCAACAGTGTATAGTCTGTGAACCTTGTCACCTATCTTTATTGGGGTAATCTTGGTCTCTAAGCACATGTAGTATTGTGAAATTTAACTATCCTTATCATCGTCCCAGAAAATATGTGAAAAGGCTTTCTAGTTATCACCTGAAGTAAGGCTTACTAGTTATCACTTGAAGTAAGGCTTACTAATTATCACCTGACGTAAGGCTTACTAGTTATCACCTGAAGTAAGGCTTACTAGTTATCACCTGAAGTAAGGCTTACTAGTTATCACCTGAAGCTAGACTTACTAGTTATCACCAGAAGCTAGACTTACTAGTTATCACCTGAAGTAAGGCTTACTAGTTATCACCTGAAGCTAGACTTACTAGTTATCACCTGAAGTAAGGCTTACTAGTTATCGCCTGAAGCTAGACTTACTAGTTATCACCTGAAGTAAGGCTTACTAATTATCACCTGAAGTAAGGCTTACTAGTTATTACTTTAAGTAAAGCTAGACTTACTAGTTATCACCTGAAGTAAGGCTTACTAGTTATCACCTGAAGTAAGGCTTACTAGTTATCACCTGAAGCTAGACTTACTAGTTATCACCTGAAGCTAGACTTACTAGTTATCACCTGAAGCTAGACTTACTGGTTATCACCTGAAGCTAGACTTACTAGTTATCACTTGAAGTAAGGCTTCCTAGTTATCACTTTAAGTAAGACAAATGCTTGTAATCTCGAATTATTGCTGTATATATTAATTCTCGGAGACAAACCAACAAGATAAGAAAAATGAATTTGTAATACAACAAGGACAAACTGATGCCGCGCTCACGATCGCAATTGGCATATATCCATAAATTAAGTTTTCAGAAAAAGAAATATTTTACTGTAATCAAAGATATGTCAATACATGTACATATGCCCTTCTCATCCATTTCTGATGTATTATTTGGATAAACACCCTTTTTAACATTTAGTAAGAAACAGAATCACACATACACACAACACATTATATAAGCCTACCTCTTTAATACCATAAAGTTTATAATTTTGAACAAGTCTCTGAAACAGATAAACATGTACTTAATTGGGTTTTTCAGCTGAGCCCCTTTTCTGGAGGACGTGTATGGCTCAGGTATGCCTTATAATGACTACCTTATTATGATCCACGAGGTCAACTAAGATAGTCAGGAAACAAATAATAATATGGAATATCAGCATCTTTCGCTTAAAGGTATAGTGAGGAGGATAATAGTTTGTCATGCGCCATAAGATCTACAGTGGATTCTTGATCACTTGAGACTAGTGATAACCCCAAATTCTTTACCAAAATAATTCCGGGAAACTACTATTTAGTACTCGTGTTGATTTAGTAAGGGATTCTGTCGTCGTACTTTCTGGAACACAGAGTGACGGAAAAGTGTGTTGACAATAGAATAGAACAACACGAGAAGACGAAATTTCTGTTAATTAAAGTGCAAAATACTTCGAGTAGACAATGATGATCTAATTAAAGAAGACTACATCAAATCTAAATCCGGAGTTCAAACAAAAACCCAGAGACTTTTTTTTTAAAAGTAACTTATCTATTTCTCGTATTTTTTTTATGCATTATGTAATACTTGTTTATGTATTTTTGATGCAGCGTGTATATTAATTAAATAAAACGTTCCTACCTTAATGGAATATATACATGCATTTAGTACATGCACAATAAGATGTGGTCATGTTAGGATTTCTGGTATACTATAAAACCTGCCCTGGCCCATTTGGCCTGGCCTGGCCTCTAATTTGGCTCCAAACCAATTTTTTGGCCTGGCCTCAAATTTGGCCTCTGTAAAAAATTTTGGCCTCTATTTTGGCCAGGCCAACTTTTAAGGCCATGCCAAAATTTGGTTTGGAGCCAAAATAGAGGCCAGGCCACCTTAGAGGCCAGGCCAGCCAAAGGGGCCAGGCAAGGTTTTATAGTATGCCAGGATTTCCTGAGGTCACTTCTGTAAGAGGGTCACTTTGCTTGCCTCCCGAAGGGGACTGCTTAGTACAGGTTTGAATGTATAAAACTACACACTTTACTAAAATAACCAGTATGCTTTAATTTTTGTAATTTTGTATTCTTTTCTTTAATAACAGTAAACGTTTAGAATTTTTTTTTCATTGTTTGGTATGCAGAATTCAATAACTTTTAAAATTCATTGCATGAAAGAAAATGTTGTTAAGGACATACGCAAGGTAGTTTGAACTTTATCGTCCTTTTGATGAGTTCCAATACGTAAAGGAACTGTGTGCTACATTTTATTGTCTATATATGCTGTTGTACACTTCTTCAAAAACAAGTTTGGATAAACAAAACATCTAGAATATATGTTTAGTAATATTTGTGTATTTTCTGTATTTTTCTTTGAATTATACAAGAATTTTCATCAATTGATATCTTTTCAAAATACCTGGTAATGCCTGCTGATTTTTTGTCTACGAATATCTGATGGCACTATAATCTTAAATAAAGAATATCTTGAAAAATTATCAGTAGGTAAGGTACGTTGCGTATGTCCTTAAAACTGTTTATGGGCAATTTCATTTCTTTTAAGGGTACAGCTGTATTTTCTTTCTTTTTAATATTCGGTATAATTTGTCAAAGAAAATACATACATGTCCTGTCGAAATAACAGCTCACTTACAAAAGGGAGAATGTAAATAATTGGTTGACATTTTACTGCTTTTTTATCGCATTTGTATCTCATCTTTTGTTTTTTTAATTAGAAATCTGTAGGCCTAAATTATTACACAGGCCTTTCATACATAAAGGTTCCTAATGCCATTTCAAAGAATTTTGAATTCAATTCTTCACAACAAAGACAAACCTGTAATCCATATCAAATGTATAAATAAGATCAATAATTTCTATACTTTGAGCTTGGCAACACGGTCATCCGTTGTATTCTTTGAGCGTATATTTGAAAATTTTATTCATATTGGTCTTCCCAAGGAGACGATAACCGAAATCCGATAATCACCGCCCAGGATCAGGTTCTTGGTATTTGTTATTTCCTCACTTGAGTCCGTCAGTTTCGCTGTATGAAAGTATCTAATCACGGAGAAGTTTTATTATTATACTTTCATGTTAAATACTAATATCTGATTGGTTTACACGCATTTAACAATCCGTAATGTTACCCTCAGCGTTAGCAACACACTTAACAACGGGTAACATTACGAAAATATCACATGCGTTCAAATCATGCGCGTACGGTTCACCGTAGAATTCTCAAAGCGTCAGTTGTGCGTTTGAAAGAAGCCGAATAAACGACGTCAATAAAAGCTTGCGTCCGATGTAGCTTACTTGAAAACAACAAACGACAGACGAAACATCCTTGCGAATGCAAACTTTAGACGATAAAGGACTTTTTGAGTAGCAAACAAACAATAAAAAGGTGGTAAATCTTTTCCGAAGCTTTCTTATTGAGAAAAATAGAAGCGGGGAGTCTGAAAGCTTTCTAAGCGTGAACTCAACGATCTCCGAATTTTTCTTTTGACATCCGAAATCAATAAGACATTCAGTATAATAAAATAAATAGTGCACGTTTTTGAGGGTAACAGTTGAAATTGACACCCCTCGGAAAACCATTGTCAACCTCCGCTGACTCGTCGGTTGACAATGGTTTTCCTTGGGGTGTCAATTTCAACTGTTACCCTCAAAAACGTGCCCTATTTATACATTGGTATCTACCCTTAACAGTATGAAGTTTTCTTTGAACTGACAATTCTTTTACGTCCTGCTAAGAAGCATACTGTAAATAGCAGAACTTTCCAGCTTACCAACTAACTTGCCCTTGAGAACATCACAATACAACTGATATTTATAAAAGTGGACGCTTTTTTATTTTCAAAATTACATTGAATACAATTTTTGTACGTATTTAGAGAAAAATAAATAAACTTCATTTGTGTAATGCACTAATTAGTAAATGAAAGACATGGAGAAAAACAGAACCACTCAAATCATGCACAAACAATAAAAATATATTTCTTTGAGATTATAGCACTATTTCCGTTTTTGATTACAATATCAAATGTCTTAAGCAACAGCTCTGTAGTAAGACACAATACACTTAGTACATGCATGTTTCAGCAAGATTCAATAAGCAAACAAGCTAACTTCATTCAGTTTTCATGACGTAACAATCAGACATACAATTGATAAACTCTCGGTGTCAATACATCTCTTGAAATAAAAAATGGCATCATTAAATGTCATACAACACAAATTTATCACAGAAATTAGTGAACATAAATTATAAATTAAATGCTGGGGTAAATTACGGATCACATTTACAGAAAGAGTTGATGAACCAACACCGAATTAATACTTCTGTTTTGGCAATATACGGCCCGGAATTCCTCTGTCTCACTAGAGTTGACCTCCTGGTTGGATGCTGAGAGCTATTTTTGTAAAGGAGGAAGAGTGTTTGGTTTATCAGCAGGTGGTTCTATAACAGTGGCATCCCTAGGGGTCACAGCTGGGTCTATGGAGAAATAAACCCAACATATGTATCATCATTAAAAGGGTTATTCTCTAGCTCTTTGCCTGTATTTTACACTTCAATGGAAATGGAAATATAGCACAATGTATTAATATGATACGTGACTCTCGGGAATACTTATTAATATGAGGGATCTTTTCCTGACACAGTCTCCTTGACTTTTACTTCATAAAACATCAAATTAATATCTGCTACCGTATTTGAATGAGAACTTATATTCAAGCAATATTATTAAAAGTTAAGGAGCTGAATATTCTTGATAATTTTTTTTACACAGACGGTGAATTTGGCATTACCACTTGTTACCTCCTATATACACGATTAAAATAACAACTGCCTAATACGATTGCATAACATTAGAAGATTGGAATTGATATTAAATTGATAGCTTTCACGTTACTTGGTACACGTCATCTATAAGGAGACATAAACTGTTCATTTAATTTAGCAAAAGAAAAACGGTTAACCTCAAAATTCAACAAGCATTAAAGCAGGGACAGTAGTTACTTAAATTAAAGGGACTGTGAGCACTGAGGTCACAAAATGATACCGCCGCTCCCATATGAGAATAATGGCAAAATCCATGTTTAATGCCCTGGGAAACACCAAATATCTGTCCGATCAGACCACAACATAGGAGATGCACAATGGCACTATGTAAGACAGATTCTGTAAAAGTTTCATTAAATTTTATTCATTGGTATAGGATGAGTTACGAATAACAGATAAGTAGCCCCCTCCAATGTTATGGAGAGAATGGCAGTGTCCATATCCATGGCAAATCCCAAGTTTTTTTTCCTATCAAAACGACAAATAGGGGTGCACAATGGATTCTGTGAAAGTTTAATTAATTTTTTACGCAGTATAGGAGGAGTTGCGGATAAGAGATGTGTACCCCCAAGTGTTACGGACGTACGAAGGGACGGACACCCCAATCTCTATATATTCCTAACCCATTTTTGAAGCGGGGTGGGGGTATAATTTAAAAAAAAAAAGGACTTCAACTTACTATTATTACGATATAAAATACATAGATTTTAAAATTGAATTTATAAAGGAACACAAGTTTTTAATTCTATAAACTGGATCATCGCAGAGCATGCAGAGTAAGCCTTTAAAAAGTTTTTTTTTTAATATCATGTATAAGAAAAGTAAACATAGGGAAGTAGTTGATGATATCTTCACCTATTTAGATCCATAAAGACAGCAATATATATGCCACAAATCAAAGTTGTTCATTACACAATCAAAAGTTTCTATTTATGAATTGAAAACAAACCAATGCATATTCCTGTTCATTGTTATAGTAATGTCCTTCCAAAAGATAACTGATTAGAAGAACTTCAATATCCTACTGCAGTTTAATATGTAAACAAAAGTAGCAATGTCATACCAAACAAAATTTACACAGAAAAAGAGCCAAATTCTCTATTTCCAAGTCTTATAATGGTATTTTTTTTCTAAATAAGTCAATTATTTTTACCTGTTAGTTTTCTCTTTTAAGTTAGATACTCTGGAAAATTATTCTACTATATTTAGCTTTATTACTAAATTATAAATGCCGAAAAAAAACTGAAAATTCGTATGACTGACCTTCCAAAGGAATCATTTATATATTTTTTCTCCTTTTATTTATAAGGTTAAATGGATTAGAGTAATATTTTTTTATAGTCCTGAATAACATTGATACTTTTTTATGGTTTAATGAAACTTTTGAATATCAACAGAAACATTAGATACAAGAATTTAGAAAATAATATAAAAATATATAAATATATATAAGGATATTTCAAGATGAAATATGAAGATAACGATCAGTGTGCTCCTTGTCATGATCGGACAAAACTCAGTCAACATTCGACTTAACGATAGAATGATTGTATTTGCTGACAACGTCATTGTGTCGACCATAGAATTTGGAAATGTTGACTTAAAACGAGACTGTTGATATTCTTTTTCATCAACTTATTTATCAAAAGCTTGTTCTCGTTTTAGAAATTGTTCGTACGTACAACATGCTCTTTTGTATGGGAGACAAAAAATTCTTAGGTAGGTGATAAGGGTATACATAAATAAGGAAAGTTTACGATAGAAAAGTTGAAGTCATCACATTTATCATAAAGTTTTGTTCTTTTTCTAGTAAATTATCCAATTATGAAACAGATGTGTCAGACTCTGTGGTATCTTTTATTTCGAGTTCTAAATGATATCTGGCATGAACATGAGAATGTAAATGAATATTGTTAGTTGATAAAACGTCTTCGATATATCTAAATGTTGAATTAAAGGCCACTGAAGGCAAAAGACTTCTTTTCATGCAAAAGTTTTTGAATAAATTCTGCTTCATATGAATACGAAAATAGGTTTTTTAATAACGGGGTGCAATTAGAACCCATCGGAATTCCAAAAGATTGTTGGAAGACTTCATCTCCGAAAATACATAGATATTGTCAATCAGAAACATATAAATTTTGGAAGTGACCATTGAAGGTGAGTAAATTTACGACTTCCAATTTTATTGTAAAAGCAGCTGTCTATGATGTCAAGAAACATGGGGAATGGTTGTATAAAGTGTTGAAAAGTCGTATGCTTTAAAGATACTAATTTTGGCAATTCTTTTATTTCAAATTTTATAATTGCTCCTCGAAGTTTTTAAATATCCACACCGTATTTAAGTATTCAACCGCTTCTAGAATATATTGTTGTACAGTACTCCTGAAGTTTCTCCTTCAGTGTTGTTAATATTTTTGTGAGGAATAAAGAGGCTTGGTAGAAAATTTACTGGAACCCGCTATGTATCTTATTTGTTACACACAGCGATGGACACGTTTGAATCATTTGATTTCATTCAATTCGAGACTGAACAAAAAAAAACAATCGAGGTGATATATCGACAGAATGAAAGTTCTGATGCCATGGTAGAGAATGTATTTGCTGTTCACAAGACCAGAGCTGTGGATGGACAAGAGACAATTTTAAGATCTCCAACTTTAGTCTGTGAACTGTAATCTATCAGATGGAAACGGTTTTTTTTTGTGGGTGAGTCAATGTCAAAATCGTATGCTGAATTGTGCTTTAGCATTTCATCAGATTATAAATTGTTTAAACCTTCCAAGAATCAATAGAGTCATCAGACAAAGGGCGAGGTGTCTATTTCGTTGATGAGTTTATTGTTATTGAACTTTCAGAAGACCTCTAAGAGTGCCATATCCAGCAGTTTTTTTTAATGAAAATAGTGTTAAATGAATGTTACTAAGTTTCTATTTTAATGATGGAAATTAATGTTAATGAATATTAAATAAGAATTATTTTACAGTACCAATATACTAATGTACTACTGAGTATAACTATGCTTTTGTTATAAATGCTTCATTGTTATATTAAGAGTTTTGATGTTAGGGTTAAGATATCCGATAGCAGCCATATAGGGGTATAACGGACAATTACCTCCAATGAAAGGCTATGTCTCCTGGTCTCTGCTTTAAACGTATATATAGAGATGCTTCAAATTGTTTTTATCAATAAACATTTGCACAGACCATGAAATGTCAAATTAAGCATAACGATAATGTGAGGATATAATTTATTAATACACAATTATATTTTAAAAATCAAACACATATTATTTAATTTCATAATTTCTATTCTCTAACGTGATAGACCAAGGTCCATTATAAAGTACCCATAAAAAAATAATTGAATGTAGCTGTGGAAGCACACAATATGTTTATCACCTGCAGATTTTTACCTCATTTTAAGACTGCCTATATGCACTCTTACCTGGTGGTTGAACTTTCTCTTCATCACTGTGCTCTCTGGGATTTATCTTGGCTTTATATTTTTTATATATGACGATTCCTACTGTGACTGCTACTGCTATAACAATAACCCCTACCACGGCTCCAGCAATGATACCTATGTTGCTAGAGCTTTCTGAGGCGGCAGCGGAAGTAAAGGCTGTTAAATAAAGAGAAGCCGGATACTTATGTTCAACCATGATTATTAGTACACTGTATCCACATAGAGAGTGTTGATTTGATAACTAATTAATAATGTATAAAGATACTTACGTTCTTCACAGAAAGCATGGTAAAATATTGAAATACTCAATCAGAAAAAAAGCATATTACAAAACAAATACTAAAGATTTATCTAATAAAATGAGCACATTAAGCGTAGCCAACAGGTTTTGAGGAGAAGACAATATTTGGAGGTATATTTATAATTTAATGATATAAGGTAAGATAATTATAATGTTGTATTGTGTTATAATTTAATGACTTAAGGTATGATAATGTTGTCTTGTTCTACATGTACAATCTCATAAACAAGGTGTCTTTTATTTCAGACTCCATAACATTAATCTTATCAATTATACATACATGTATATCAGTATAGCTGATTGAGCAGAAGACATACTTACGACACGTCTCTGAAAAATTAAGAAAAATAGTTTTTAAGTATATGTATATATTTATTAAAGCTACAAATACTAAATTTTTTGTTTGTATTCTGCAAAGATATAAAAACTTTTCTTATTAATTTACCATAAGCAACAAATTCTAATGTCCCCGCGCCTGTTGACATTTTGGATGTCGGTGTTTGACTTTGTCCACACGCCCCTTTGTTGTCACTGGCGAAGACCTTCCCACCGAAAGAAGTAACGGCCTATCAAAAATACATCAATTTGAAAATCGTCATATTCCAAGTATATTTCAGTATGCAATCTTTCTTTAAAATCTACTTACATAGCATGTAAATCGGTGTGTTGTTGTGAAATCAACTGTTGTATCGGCGTTAATTACTGTGACGTAATAATTACTACCAACGGAAGTAGAATAGGCACAATATGCCACACCACCAGCTGCAATAGAAAGCTTCTGTCAATGTCTTTCAGGAATCTGCCTACTCAACCGAGATGTTATTATCGTTGAATGTTAAACATACCTGAGTAAAATTGCTGTGTTGAGCACAGAGTGTAATTGACCACCATCTGAGTTCTATCTGAGCAAACATCCCAAACGCTTGTGCCATCACAATATGTTGTAGAACCGTCATTGAACGTATAATTAAAGCTTCCCAAGAAAGGTGTTGGGCAATTTTGTGTTGCATTTAGGATGTAATCTAGAACAAATTGAAGAGGAATCTTTAAAAAATAATAAATGTTTTTTTTAAATAATTAGTCAGTAGGTCGTAGGTGTTTTGTATAATATGTGTATTATTTACCTTTCTTAATCATAACAACTGTTTCTACTGCTGTCGGCAGACCCTGGGAAGGGTTACATGCGTAACTCACGTTAACTACGTCTGTTGTTGTTTGAACAAGTACACGGGCATCCCCAGCATTGGACTCGTTATCTGTAATCGATATCAAAAAAGAAATATCTGAAGAAGGTCTTGATATATATATATATATATATATATATATATATATATATATATATATATATATATATATATATATATATATATATATATATATATATATATACAACAGGTGCCACATTTAGAAACATAAATGAAAACTTTAATCCGACTAGGTTTTAAACATGAAATTTTGATTAAAAAAAAGAAAGAAGATGAAATGGCTTGATTGAGACAAAGAAAATCATTTTTAAAAATGTTTATAGATTTTACAAGCAGTAAATACTTACTTGCGTGTATGAGATACGTGTATGAGTAGTCTGTTAACTTTTGCCACTTTAAACACCGATATACGTTATGATCTGCACCAAAAACATTTGTTGTTTGGTTTGACCTTTTAATAAAAGGAAAAAAAGAGAACATTTTTGAGTTTTTGTCTTATTCTCTTTTGTACTTAAATTTGAAATCTATAGATTTATTCTTCAGCGAACTGTATTGTGTAAAAAGACTTAATGTCCACAAAAAATAGCTATCATAATTATTCCTATGGTTTAATGCAATGTTCCTCTGCAGAAATTGGAGAAGGAAAAGGCATGCATTAAAAGTGTTTATTAATATTATGAAAATAGAAAACGTGTGCTATACAAAAAGGAAAAAAGTTGTCCAATTTCTGGAGGTGAGCGTGATATTGGAATATGGATAAGAGACATTTATATTTGTGGCTAATGCATTATAAAGCATATCATAAAAAGTAATTTATATGAAGTAGTTACAGTCTAAATTTTCCCTGACTTTTTTTCAAATTCTGAATATGATTAAGCAATGAGTATACAATCACATTCAACCCTAGGGATACCCAGTAGATCATCATATTCTGAACCGAAACAAGCTACATGTATATAAGAAATGGCGTTTATTGCTCTATACTCCTTCTTTGAACACCACATTTTCTGTTTTCGCAATAGACACTTTTCAAATCTTTTAGCCTTTAAATTCATTTTTTGCCAGACAGAAAGCTACTAAAATTAACCAAATAATAGTTCACATTTTTGTAATTAATTGCGTGATTGTTTATGACGAAGATTTCATCAACCGAGTTTAATTTGACTAACATGAACCTTGAAATTGGACACTAGCAATTTCTGTTTTGTACAAGCATAATTAAAAATTACTTAAACAGCAGTAGATTGTCGGACGCTTTGTCGGCTATGCATGTCCATGATGTAATGGTGGCTGAGTATATCTGGTGTTTCCAGCCAACAACGTATTTGTCAGACAGGGTGAATGTTATGTCTTGTGTTGTGTCACTGCTGTCGTGCCATTCTCCGTCCCAGTCTGTTGGTAGTGTACAGCTTTGTACCCCTGCAATTAGACAATCAACTATTATTTATTTATATTTTACAGAGATGTATGTTTCCCCCTTTCCCAATTCAATCTCTTGGCCATCAATACTGTACCTTGATGACATGTCCTTGAATCTAATGTGAATCTTTTCTGATGAAATGGTTATCAAACGTGCAAGGGGTGAATATATATTAATTAAAAGTTCTGTGTCATTGACTTAACAAGTTTTGTATCATGTTTTCAAACCGTTCACGGTAACTCAGTCGGTAGAGCGCTTGCTTCGTGATCGGGAGGTCGTGAGTTCGAATCTCGGCCGCGACAGACCTAAGTCGATAAAACATGGGTAGCAACTGTTCCTTCGCCATGCGCTCGGCACTTTGAAGTGAAAGTTGCGGGTCCTTCGGATGAGACCTTAAAAACCGAGGCCCCGTGTCACGACAGGCGTTGGCACGATAAAGATTCCTCACTGCTCAATGGCCCTGAGTGCCGTGTAAAGGACAAAATTTGAAGCCCTTCACCAGTATATGGTGACGTCTCTATATGAGTGAAAAATTCTCGAATGGGACGTAAAACAACATACAATCAATCAATCATGATTTCAACATTTTATTGTTCATTGACCTTGAAATACAACCTTTCACCAAGATTAAGACAATCTTTAAATAATCATCAGCGACATGCTCAAGTTTGATTTCATTTCAATTTATTACAATTAATGCCAGGACCTCTGAGATATGACTTTGAGTCAAGATTTTGACCAACCGTTATATCAAGACAAACATATAATTAGTTTGAAAATCCATTCCAATCAAGGGTCCGATATAATGGTCTGGACATACTATTGTCATACCACAACTCACGTCTCCTTCGCTTTGGGCTAGACATACGAAATAATTAAAATTCACAGAAACGGAGTAAAGAAATGTTACGAGAAAACATAAGCGATCCTTTTCAGATCTGCAGCATGCAGTGTTTTAAAGAAAGGAAATTAAATATGCATAAATGTATAAAAATTCAAGAAACATTTTCATTTAATCGAAAATATTTCTTTCTGAATAAGTTTAGTGAGATCTGCAGTCTTTTTACTTCAAAATCTTTTTTTTTAATACAAATTCTTTTAATTGTTAATTCCCCCACCCCTATAATCAATGTCTGCAGACAAAAATCAGTATTTACCTATCGAATAATACAATACCTCCCTCCCATTTCCTTGACGTAAAATCAGGAATTTATAACTTTGAATAGAATTTATAGATTTTATGTTTTTCTTTTGTTTGACACAACTCGATGCAAAGCAGGCAAAAAAAGAGACGAAACAATGTCCCTAGCCATGCAAATAAAAGACAGTAATTTTAAACCTAAACGATATATTGTTGACCCATAAATAGATTTCACACCATTGACCTCTCAAGTAAACAGTTTGCTTTCTTGATATCTATGGCAAAATTGGAGAAAACAGCAACATTGGGTCATAATGAAACATTGTTGACTTAGAGACACTTTAATTTATGCAGAGCTACAGTGATGTCATATTAGGTTTAATCACCATGAAAGTGCGTCCTTTTTATCAGCATATAAAGGAACAATTGATACATAAGTCTTTGGTATTCATGCTTGTGTTTATTTCTCTGTGTTAAAATTTTAAAAGCGTTCTTAAACCTAAGATAACATAGCATTAATACCTAAAGTGATGTTATTGTATATTTGGACAATGTTGTCATAATCTGTTTGTTCATTTCGGCAGATAAAATTAATGCATTATTTATTGTTATATCTAACATACAGATATTGGATGTAAAGACGATTTAAATTAAAATGTGTAACAAAAAGAAAAAAAAGTAGCTAGTGACAGGTGCTTTTTTCCAACATGGCTACAGCCTTCTTGAGATTAGATTTAAATCAATTATGAATAGACGTTTTATTTGTAGTTTATATGAAGTATGATATCATGGCTGAAGTGAAAAGAATTATAACTTATTGTAAAGGGGCATTTTGTTGATTTAAAAGATTATCATAAGACATTTTACACTTCTAATAAATATATTTCCTGCATTTGAGAGGGTGGCACAAAGTGTCCTCCTTTAGTAATTGGTTTATTATTGGAATACTTTATTTCTGATTTATATGTGAAAATAATCAAGCAATTATGATTTCTAGACTAATTCATCAAATTTACTGCTCGAAATTCTTTTTATAGAATACAAAAGATGTAAATTAAATACAATTACGGGCATACATTCTATTGTAAAGAATTGTGTGACTTAACAACTAATTTGCACTGAACATGTTAACGAGCTCAATACTATTCGATTTTAGCTAAGGGTTAAGATTGCCAAAGTAGTTTTACAATCTTTTAATTTCAACCATGGTCTGCATTTCAAACAGTTTTTTTATTCATTGTATAAGCAGATGCATCAGATAACCAGGATGTTTCTTTAAAGACAAAAAACTGGTATTGTATAACTGTTAGAAGATACCATGGAAAAATCACTCATTTACCGGTATATGTTAGAATTATAAATATGTGCGATACGACCTCCAAATTAATGAATGTCTTTCTCAACACCTGAACAAAATTTGAAATTGCCACGATGAAACTTGGGTTTAATATCGATAGAAAAATACCAAGAAAGACAAAACGACATGACCTCAAATTCTTCGGTGTTCTTCTCTTATTGTAAACTATTTCTGAACAAAATTTAATAATATTATGGCGAAAACTGATTTGAGTTATGTATTAAATTTAAATATTTTACCTCAGTGTTCATAGCCGAACAGACAGACAAAAAAATCACAAGGTATCTTTTTCTTACGTTTAACTCCTTCTGAATTAAACAATGAAAAATGTTAATTGAGTTATTGCTTCGCAACAAAAGTGTAGAAGGATCGACTAACAGATGGACAACATTTTTAGATTTTCCCTTCTGGTCCTCACCTTTTGTATTAATTTGAAATTATTACAATGAGAATTTTGAGTTGTCGTGTCACAATAGATATACATATATACACAGAGACAAACGAACGGACAGACCTATGGGCAATATGATTCCTTAATAGAACTCACGTGGGGCCCTAAAACTATCTTCCGGTAGTGGAATGACAAGAAAGAGATGTATGCCAATATTATTCAGAAATAAAATGTTTTTGAAGTCTTGTGAAGCAAATGTTGCCCTTTAGAAGAAGTTTACACTAATGTTTTCATACAAACAAACCGTACCAATTTCCTCTACTTCAAACAAATAATGAAAAAATTCACACACTGAAAATAATGGAGTGAGTTCTTCACTCAAGAATCCTTTGCATTGATTTAATATTTAACATATTATGTAATTGGGGAACAAAAAAGGGGATTAGGATTATATATTATAACATGATCAATTTGTTGTTTATTATAAACAACATATGTTTCAACAATACGAGGAAACACACTTGTGTTTTAATTTACTTAGCGATTGTTAATACCTTGAGTAAAATATGACAAAACTTATGGTGAAAAAAACATTGGTTGATCAGAAAACAAAAATCACAAGGAAAATAAGAATATCTTACTTATTATGATTGCTGACATCCATAGAAACACACATATCATTATTTCCTCATTCATTTCTGACAGATTTAGCGTCCCTCTTGATTTTACCTCAAAGTACACGACATTGCTCCTCCCAGAACTTTAAAATACAAGTAATTCACGCATGCACACATATGCTTTCTATTCACAACGATCGATTTATGCGGAAATCATTTTCCATTTCTTATCCGAATTAATATCCAATAAATTAAAAAGGGACTGAATATTATCTATGTATACTGTTGAATATGATTTCTTCATATGTGACATTAAGTTAGAGCGAGGTTTTAACTTGATCGTGAATTTCTAAATACCTGGTTATCAACTATACACAAAAGACTTCTTATTCTGACAAATTTTCTTTTTCCCACCCAACCTTAGAAATTTAGTTTTCTGACAAAGAAATTTTAAAAAGTGAATAAACTGGTCGAATTAAAATCGATTATTGGTTTTGCAGTAAAAGAAAAATAAAATCAGAAGCCATTAAATCATTAAAATACCCTTTTACATTAGCATTTAAATGACCTGGTGCAAGCTGGTATACATTGAACAGGACACATAGAAAGGGAAGTAAGCGATAAATTCTACTATTTCAAACTGACAGTGTTCAGTTGTCTAACTTCTTTGAACAACTTTCCCGGCAGAAATATGGCAGCTAGGTACCCTATGTTGGAAATGAACTAGATAAACTCAAAATATACCATAAACATTTTCTCAAAAAGTCCCAAAAAACAACATTTTCTTAAGTGTTTAGAGCTTTCTCCTCAGTTTCATAGTAAGAATATGTATACCAAGCTGGGTTTTCTCTACTTTGATATCTAGTTGGGAAGACTAATGTGGTTTCATCAACCCTCCTGCAAGATAACATTTTATAAAAAATTCAAATCGTGCAAAATAAAACAGAGTTAACACAGCTCAACTTTTTAGAATGGGAAACATTTTACACATTTGGAGAAGCAAATTGAAAATTACGAGTAATTCCTTCTTTAAAAAATTGTTTGTTTGCCCTCTCCCGACCGACTGACTGAAAACAGCCCGACTCAAAACTTTATTAACCTCCAGGAAACAATTATTTTTTTTATTTATTCCGAATTTTTAAAATCCCATTTATAAGTACTTTAACTTCACAATTGCAGGTGTTTTTGAATAAGAAAAAAATTTCCCGCTACCTACCGACCCAATTTTTTTATCTTGTGTCGGGAGAGGGCAAGCAAACATTTATTAAAGATGGCCTAATACAACAATTTGTAAACTCAAGTCTGAGAATCCTTTATATTTCCCCCATATTAATCTTCAAAATGTATTCTTTGATAAAAATATTGAATTTATTTTTGCTTTTTATTCAAGAGTATTAGAGATTTAAGAGCTGAAAAATTATTTAAAGATGGCATGCAAAAAAAAAATACATTCTTTCACAGCAAATGCTCATTTAAGATTTATTTTGGGCTTGAATGCAGCAAGAAAAATTAAATTGAAAGTATCGAATTAAGATCTGTATCTTTATTATGTTTTAAAAAATATAGAAGAATCAAAATTACAAGAAAACTTAACATTAAGAAATTATTTTGCTAACGAAAGATAGTCATATGCATTTTGTTTTAAGCAGCTTTTTACCGTATTAATGAAAATATTCACTGGTTTTCCCAATTGTTTTGTAAGATAACCAGCTGACCTTGGTTTCTCATTGTAGATCTAACAAAACATTCTGTGAAAGGACTTACATGAGTAATACAATATCGAAATCTGTTCAAAAACGCAAAATTATGCAACAACACAATCTGTTTCCACTCTTAAATCTAGGAGATTGTTTTTGTAAATGTTTTGTGCCCTGAATGGACAATCAAATTTTTGTGATAATTAATCATACACTAATCACTGCTAATAAAGTCGTCCTCATATTTTTTCTCTCGATGTCTTACTGCTTTTGAATTATATATATAATTCAAAAGCACAATATTTATGGATGACAAAGTACTATATAAGTAGAAGGTCATATCGTATTCTACAAACATTGAGTCCTGCTTAAAATGCATAAATTCAAAATGAAAATTGCATTTTGTCTATCTAATGAAAAACTTATGGTTTTATCAATTATATTTCTTTAAATTTAGTAGTTTGAGTTGGCAAAAACATATGAAAGTTCGTCAAAATACTGACAAACCTTTTTTCAATTGTTGTATATTTTTGCTAAAATTTTGCATGAAATTAATCATCTTATTTCTTAAAGTTTTTCTTCCTGCATAGAATTAGACATTCAAAACAGCGGTGAGATACCTGTAAACTTGGTCTTTCTTCTTTTCCATTGAAAATATATAGATTGCCTCCCCTTTCCCGAATATTAATGTGTATTCAAATGTTATATCTATTTTTAACGAACAACTTCAAAAAAATAATGTTGTTATCATTGTCATATTGAGAGAGGAATTCATAAAGATACGGTAATTCGATAATGTAGTGGCATACCTCTGCTCCCTACATGCAAGATAAACTATGTTAACATGCGAGAAAAGTATGTCAACATGCACGATAATTATGTCTACATGCAAAATAATTATGTTCATGCAAGTTGCCAATCTTTTTAGAGAATCTAATTTTAGTGTTGGTAAACTTACTTACAAATGCCAGTTTACGACATCAAACAAACAAGATGCAACAAAATTATGTTGACATGCAACTTATTTATCTTAACATGCAAGATAATTATGTTAACATGCAAGATAATTATGCTAACATGCAAGATATTCATGTCAACATGCGACTTATTTATGTTAACACGCAACATAATTATGTAGACATTCGACTTTTTTATGTTAACATGCAAGATATAATTTTATTATACTTTCATGTTAAATACTAAAATCTGATTGGTTTAGACGCATTTAACAATCCGTAATATTACCCTCAGCGTTAGCAACACAGTTGGCAACGGGTAACATTACGAAAATGTCACATGCGTTCAAATCATGCGCGTACGGTTCACCGTAGAATTCTCAAAACGTCAGTTGTGCGTTTAAAAGAAGCCAAATAAACGACGTCAATAAAAGCTTGCGTCCGATATAGCTTACTTGAAAACAACAAACAACAGACGAAACATCCTTGCGAGGACTTTTTGAGTAGCAAACAAACAATAAAGAGGTTGGTATATCTTTTCCGAAGCTTTCTTATTGAGAAAAATAGAAGCGGTGAGTTTGAAAGCTTTCTAACCGTTTGAAAGCTTTCTAAGCGTGAACTTAACGACGATCTCCGAATTTTTTTTATGACATCCGAAATCAATAAGACATTCAGTATAATAAAATAAATAGTGCACGTTTTTTGAGGGTAACAGTTGAAATTGACACCCCTCGGAAAACCATTGTCAACCTCCGCTGACGCGTCGGTTGACAATGGTTTTCCTTGGGGTGTCAATTTCAACTGTTACCCTCAAAAACGTGCACTATTTATAAAATGTTAATATGCACTCATTTTTTTATTATGCCCCCGTATCGAAGATTCGGGGGTATATAGTTTTTGCCCTGTCCGCCCGTCTGTCTGTCTGTCTGTTTGTCCGCAAAAACTTTAACATTGCCCATAACTTTTGATTGGTTGGAGCTATGGCTTTCATATTTCACATGTGTATTCCTTGTGACAAGACCTTTCTTTGGGTGCCACCATATTTGACCTTTTGACCTTGACCTTGGAGTTTGATCCAGTTTTGCAAATTTTTTCTCCCAACTTTAACCTTGGCCATAACTTTTGAACAATTGGTGCTAGGGCTTTCATACTTCACCATATTTGACCTTTTGACCTTGACCTTGTAGTTTGACCTACTTTTGAAAAACTTTAACATTGGCCATAACTTTTGAACAATTAGTGCTAAGGCTTTCATACTTAGCATATGTAATCCTTGTGATAAGACCATCCTTTGGATTCCAACAACTTGGACCCTTTGACCTTGACCTTGGAGTTTGACCTACTTTTGAAAAACTTTAACCTTGGCCATAACTTTTGAATCGCTGATGCTAGGGCTTTCATACTTCACATATGTAATCCTTGTGACAAGACCTTTCTTTGGATACCAACAACTTTGACCCTTTGACCTTTACCTTGGAGTTTGGTTGCGGGGGCATCAGTGTTTCACAAACACATCTTATGTCAACATGCAACTTATTTATGTCAACATGCGAGTTACATTTTGATATGCAAGTTTTTAATGTCAACATGCAAGATAATAAGTTGTGTGTCATCATACATAAATCGCATGTTGACATAATTATAACTCGCATGCTAACATAATTATCTTGGATGTTGACATAAATAAGTTACATGTCTACAAAATTATCTCGCAAGTTAACATGAATAAGTCGCATGTCAACAAAATCCTGATTCACCTTGAATCATGTCAATAATAGCGTAAGTATATAAGTTTACCAACATTAAAATTAGATTTTGTAAAGAGATTGGTTTGGTGGCATATTTTTTACCCCAACATGCAAGATAAATTATGTTAACATGCGAGAAAAGCATGTCAACATGCAAGATAATTAAGTCTGTCTACATGCATAAAAATCATGTTGACATGCAAGTTACCAATCTTTTTAGAGAATCTAATTTTAATGTTGGTAAAATTACTTACTAACGCCTGTATATGACATCATAAACACATAAATAAGTCGCATGTCTACATAATTATCTCGTATGTTAACATAAATAAGTCGCATGTCAAAATAACCCTGTTGCATCTTTTTTTTTTAATGCCTTATTTTTGAAAAAGTTTTCATATACATAATATCAAATAACACAGACATATACATATGTATGTACAAACACACCCACACCCACACACATCAACACACTCACTGTGCACCTTTCCCAAAAAAACCCCAACTGTTCAATATTACAAATATAGTTATACTAATTAGAATTTTCTTATATTAACAAATCAAATCAAACATTGCCCATTTACTATACATATTAGTTTTACAATGAAAGTTACTTTCACAAAATTTTTCGATTTTTCTATAGTACTTAAAAATGTTAATTGCTTCTGTAAATTTAGGTATTGTACATTGAGATCTTGAGTGATACAAGTACTTTTTTCCTAACAAGATAAGAAAATTTTCTAAACAACTTCCATCAATGTTACCAAGCATCACCTTTTGTTTTGAAATTACATAATCATTTTCAATAGCACGATACCAATTTTCAAAATCTCTCCAAAACCTGGTTACATGTATACAGTC